GCTTCAGTGTTAACTTTACCTGCCTGAAAAACAGAAATTTAGCCAGGCAAGGAGCTGGCTTGAGACCTGTCAGGTGAAAATGAATGAATTACTAGGCAAGGGCGTCTCCAGAAGATTTAGAGAAATATATACCTTCCCTCCTCTCCAGCAAAAGCACTATGCCTTGCACAAAGCAGAAATCCTGTATCTTCCTGCATTTATGATGCTTTTGATGGTCTTCACCTCTCAGCCAGGAATATGGATTCATCCCTTTTTTCTCCACTGTCCTGATGTCCTCTGCCAGCTACTCTTCTTGTAGAGTTTCAGGCTTATGGAGAGATACACATTCCCTCTAATTGTACCTGGCTAGGACTGAGTTATTTAGCAAAGGTCCTTTCAGACCAGAAAAATCAGCACTCCTCTTTCCTTTGGTCTTCTCTTCACCTTTCTTCCCCTCACTTCTAAGGATAGGGGATTTACTATTGCCAAAAAGTTTTCCAGACCTAAACAGATAACAAAATATGAAGTAGACCTGCAAAATTATTTCAAAATAATTGCTTTGGAGAGCACTTAGGAAGGGGAAAAAGTCTGTGGGTTTGAACCAAGTTTTTATACGTTAATGACTGTAGTTCATTCAGCAATGAAATTTTTAAATAATTATGGTTTTGCTATAGCTATTTCATTTTTTCAGACTATCCACTATTATGAAAGATTGGATTGCTTAAGCTGAAGTTCTAGGACAGTTTATTTCATACCACTTTTCAAGGACATTACTGCCTGCACACTCTTAAAATTTGCAGTGCTTCTGTTCCAAACACACCTTGGCAACAATTTAAAAAGAGGCATGAATATAAATGAAAAGGAGGATGTGCACACACACAAAAAAATTCATTTTTTGAAGGGCAAGGATTATCTGGGCCTTATCTAAGAGCGACAGCAGAATTTGTTCTGTGGTCCAGCTGATCAGGCAGACACCAGGTACTGCAAGAAGCATTTTTTTCCTGCTTCCATAGAGAGGATTAATGTTAAGGCATACAATTAGCTGTCAGGACTATTAATTGCCCAAATTTCTCAAGCTAAAGGGAAAAAAGCCGACTCAGCAAAAGGCATCTGTGAAAGGATTGATTTTCAACAGGGGATAGGTCCCCAGGAGACTCCAACAAGGTAAGCAGAAAATTCTGAATGGAGAAGAATAGAGAAAACCATGATGACTGGTGGTGAAAGCAAGGGAACATAGGTGTCTGGTGCTGCTTGGTCAGCCAGTGACCATCCTGAAGGAAAACTGGACAGCGCTGCCAGCCGCAGCTCCTTGCTGCTCTCCTGTGTTGTTCTGAAAGTGGTGGGGAAGCAGTGGAGAGTGCCAGCCTTTTCCAAAAGGGGCTGGCAGACCTTCCTACCCTTGTGGGGCGTCACCCCTCCCCTCCATGCTTCATGTCAGTGTACCCCATGAGGTCTCTCCATGGAGCAAATCCCTCCTCCGGGGTTCTGCAGCCTGCACACCACCCTGGACTTTGCTCACATGGAGCAGTGGGTGCGGCCTCAAGGCATGGGGAAAAGGTGCCTGGTGCTCCCACTGCCTGTGGCCTGTGCTTCCGTTTCCTTCCAGGAGAAGCAGAGGAGAGCAGATGTCTCCATAGATGATCCCAGCATGTCTGATGGTGCTGCGGCTCCCAAACGCCAGACTGCTGGCCCAGAGGTCTCAGTGACTGAGGCACCTCCAGGTGCACCTGTAAGGGCATGGTCCTCGATTCTATTACAGCAACGCTGCACTTACCAGCTGTTGTGCCACAGACACTGACACCAGCCCCCTGAGTGTCCAAACAGCCTTGACACTGTTTCTCAGAGCCACAAAACAAGACTGCTAGCTGTTTTCTTTTCGGGCATTAGCTTCCACCATCAGTGGCTCTGGATCCAGCAAAACAACTGCCTTGGACTAGAATGCCGCATCCCTGTGCCCTGGCTCTCCACATAGCTCCCATTCTCCCTCCACCTCCCCCATCCCTGTGAGCAGAGCCACCCACCTTGTAAGGACAAAGACTATATATAATTAGATGGCAGCCACTGAGGAAGCCAATCTCCCAAACCACAGAATGCTTTGGTCATTTATGAAGTATTTTCCAAAGAAAAACCAGCCATCACTAAAATAGCTGCTTCTCCCCAGTGTTTTCTCCTTCCCTCTGGGGCTGTAATGGGGCTGCAGCTTCATCCAGGATCAGACCCAAACACTTTACATTCCTAGTCATGTTTCCCTACTCTACCACTGTGGACAGGATGATGTGCACATGCCAAGCAGGAAGAGGAGGAGTTAGAGCTGATTTACCACCTTAGAGGCAGAATGCCTTGCCATGCAGGAACTGTAAATCACAGGTCCTATTGGCAGGCTTAGGGGAGAGAGATGAAGAGGGCTTACTTGCCCACATTGGACTGCAGTCCTGGATGTTAAAAGGACCTCTTCAGACAAGGAATGCTGAATATCAAGTTCCACAATGCTGGTACTTGTGTAGCCCATGTCCCCCAGCATACTGAAATTCCTATGACAACCCTGTTCAGAAAGAAAAAGTGATGGAATTTCCATAAATGGTTTGAAGAAAAAAGAAACAGCAGAGGAATGTAAAACATCGCCACAGAGAAGCATAAAATGGCTCTGGTTTGGCCAGATTGACAAACTTTGAAGAGCTGGTGAAACATGTGCTGACTCTGCCTCTAGTGGGCCTCGAGACAAGACCGCTCTAGAGAAAAATGCCCTAAAACAGTGTGGTCCTTCTCCAGCAGGCTACACCGTTTGTATTTGTGTTGTTAAGATAGACTCTGATTCTGTGTGTACATTTTTCTTAAATGTCAAGGGCCACTCTCTTAAGGCTCCACCATACTTATGCTGCCTGAACATATTTTAAAGCAGATGGACATGTCCCTATAAATATTAGTAATATAAGAACAGGGAGTTCTGAAAAATTACTAGATAATAATAATTTTGAAGACGTTTTGGCATCAAATGAATATGGTATTTGTGAAAATTGTCTTGCAGTAGTAAATATTTTGGAGCCTGAGCTAAACTCCTACTTTAGCACTGACTGTTTTGCAATTACTGACATGGAAATATATCCTTCCATGAGAACTAGTTCTAAAAAGTACATTTAATGTGAGTGAACACACAGAATATCCCGGAGATATAGATGTAATTCATGAGATCACTAGTTACATTTAACACAGTTCATTAGCTATCTAGGCCCGCACAGAACTGGCTGAATAAGCCAAGCAGTCTGTATATGCAACCAAGTGTGGAGGAAACACATCCCTCACGCGGGACTTGAGCAGATCTGCAGTGTTTTAAGCACAGTCACTGTTACATACCTCTGCACTCCAATTTGATTGCTTTGCACCAGACCTCATGTCCCAAACTTGAAGCTTCAACAGGACAAATAATTTATCTCTCCCTGTAATTCTGCTGGGAGACACAAGGTTCCCTGGGTGAAGTAAAATGTGGCAATTCCTTTGGCTGCATTTGTTGCTTGAACTGGTCACAGGCTGATGCTTTGGGGTTTTCAGTAAGGTTCAGAATATTCAGAATATTCCAGAATATTCCAGAATATTCCAGAATTTCCAGAAATATTCTGGAAATATTTCAGGGTTTGCTGAAGAAAACCTGTCCCACTTTTCAATAAAAGCTGAAGAAACTAGACACTTTTTGCAGCTAATCTTAGTAAAAGAAAAACAGTTGCAACTGTTGGAACAACACACCTAATTTAGAGCTGGCTAAGAATCTTTTCGACTAACAACAAATTCTGTGATGAAGGTAGAATTTTCTAGAGCAAATCATTCTAGCGAACAGTTCCCCACTCCTTTCCCTGTTAGATCTTGTGTCTTTCTTTCTGTATTTGAACTATAAGCCAAAAATTATTGCACAAGCAAACAGAGTGAAAAAAAGAAATTCTTGAGCCGTGGCATTGAGTAAATGTCACCTGAGTCAACAAAGAGTCTAACAGATGGAGGCTTTAATATTGTTTTTTCAAATTCATCAGTAATTTATTTTTAAAGTAATGACCGCAACTCTTCCTAGAACAGATTGTTATTCTGCCTGTTATGATTCATTAAACCAGTACAGAATGAGATCATTATCATTTAAGTTAGCATTTTTGAGACTGCCAAATATCTTTCAAGTACTTCCTACAGCTGGGACTGCGAGCATTGTCCTTGGAGCTGGCAGCCTGCTTGCACCATATCCTGGTCCAAGAGCTTCTTGTGCCTCTGGCTAGCAGCACTGCTGTGCCCACGGGGCCCTGCTCGAGTGGGTGCCTCTACCTGCCCCTCAGGCAGCAGCAAAATTGGAAACTGACTTCAAGCTGCAAGGCTTGAGAGTCTGTGGAAATAAGCACCTGCAGAGATGCACAGCCATCTCCCTGAGGAGCCAGGGCTGGAAAACTCTTCTCCAGAGGTGGATTCTCACCCACCTCAGCCTGTAGGTGAGCTGGCTGATTACTGGGACACAGTGGTCATTGGTGCCTCTGGATAGATTGCCACCTCTTGCAAATTTCCACATTTGCCAAAGGATGCAGCAAGCAGAGTGGCAGCCACAGGATTCAGGTTACCAGAAATAGATCTTTTGCCTTTTACTTTCTTTTTGGTGTAATTTCCTGAATGCATTATTGAAACAACAATGACATAAGGGACATGCTGCAGCAACAGGGAAGATAGAAGCAGGTAAAAGAGACAATGACTTACTTGTGTAGAAAAAAGAAAAATGAGCTGGCAGTAAAGGGGAATTCACAAATTACCTGATAAAAAGGCACCTGATAAATAGCCATTCCCTGCCCCCACAACCCCTCTGAGAGTTCTCTGACACATGAAGGATACCAAAACAAGAAAAAAAACACCCAAAAAGCCAGCAAACAAAAAACAAACCACCACCCCAAATTACAGCAATTACTTGATCAGGGCATTTTCACTTCCTACTCTGTAAGAGAGAAATTCCCCAGGTCATCTGACCTGTGTTGAAACTACACCAGGAAGAAGAGCAGCAGCAGTTGACAAGCGCAGGGCGTTCTCTGGCTGTACAAAAGCCTCCCATGTGCGAGGCAGAGCTCAGAGCAGCGCAGGGATGTGCAGGTGTGTGTACACATAGCAGGGTGAGCTGCGAGTATCCTGCCAGCCAGATCATCTCTTGCACAACTCTCCAGTCCTCTGCAGCCCGGCAGACCTTTCACTGCTTGTTTCCAAAGATGCCTCCAGAGCAGAGCTTCTAAGGAGCTGTTTCCTCATGTGCTGATTCCTCAAATGCTGCTGAATGCAGCTCTCTCCACGAAGAGGTGACGGCTGGCAGCATGGTGGGAATAATGGCAATGAGGACGTGGATTGAGCCAGTGGTCGCGGGTTCCCAAGTGGCCAGTGCCTTCTATGACACAGCACTGCTGCTGGTAGTGAAGAACTACTACAACCAGACCAACAGCACTGCTCCCTCCCATGCCCTGGAAGATGCCCAGCAGAAGGCTGTATCTAATTTTTATATCATCTACAACCTAGTTCTGGGCCTGAGCCCGCTGGTGTCAGCCTATGGCTTGTCCAAGCTGGGGGACCAGATACACCGCAAGATCCCCATCTGCTTCCCTCTTCTTGGTTATTTGGGCTCCAAAACTCTCCTGCTTCTCCTGATTCTGCTGGGCTGGCCAGTGGAGGTGATGTACGGGGCTGCTGCCTTCAATGGGCTGACAGGAGGCTTCACCACACTTTGGGCAGGCATCATGGCTCTGGGATCTCTGGGGTCCTCTGAAAGCAAGAGGTCTCTGCGGCTCATCATTATTGAACTGGTGTATGGCCTCGCTGGCTTTCTGGGAAGCATGGCATCTGGCTACCTCTTCGTTGGCTTCAGTGACCGCTATCAAGAAGGCACCGTGCTGGTGTGCTGCAGCATTGCTTGCTATGCCTTTTGTCTCCTTTACAGCATTTTTGTCCTCACAGTCCCCAAGCCAGCAGCTTCCTGCCCAGCCAAAGCCAAGAGTGCAGAGGATATGGGTGGTCAGCTACCAGAAGCAGCGGTAGCAGGGAGCTCCCAACCTTCAGAGAGCAGCATCTTCACTCCAGTGTCACCCTCGAAGCTCATCATCATCCTGCTGTTTGTGGCAGCAATCCTCTATGACCTGGCTGTGGTTGGTGCAATGAATGTTCTTCCACTGTTCTTGCTCAGGGAACCTTTAAGTTGGAATGCTGTAGAGATTGGCCATGGCAATGCTGCTGGGTACGTGATCTTCATTACCAGTTTCCTAGGGGTACTTGTGTTCTCCAGATACCTGAGGGATATTACCACGATCATGATCGGAGTAGCATCGTTCAACGCTGGCATCCTCATCATGGCCTTCGTGCAGTGGACGTTCCTGTTCTACATTGGTGAGTTGAACAGCCACTCACATGAGCAAATACACACCAAGAAAAGGGTGTTTCAACATCACTGGAAGGGCTTTTTGCTTTGCTTCACGCCCATTTTGCAAGCAGGGAGTTAGGCAGATCATCACAGGAGCAATTTGCAAGAAGGCATTCTTTTTATTCCTCTTTCTCCACATCTCCCTTAGTACTTTTAAGACTCAGCACTCTACAATATCCTGAGGAGGTATACACCTCTGCCAAGGACTAGTTTAAGGCTCATTGACTTGTAATTCATCAGTTGGTCACAGACCAGATCTGTGTTCACAGATCAGTCAGAGCAGTGTTCACACTCTGGGTGACTGGGAATTGCTGCTGACTCCCTGCACTAGTGGGACTGCATCACTGCAGCAATAGGAAGCACTTGCTTCCTCTGAGGCAAGGCTTAAGGCTACAACAGAAGCAAAATGGCAAAGGCTTCCTATTATATGAACGTCTTAAGATGTGATTTATTTTTGTCATATGAAGGCACTTACAGCTGATGGGAAACTTAATGAAACACTGGCACTGTAAAGGATCACAATAATGTAGTTTACAAATCTCACACTGTTTCATAAATTACTAAGGGACAGGTAAAAATAGATGGGGCAGCATCCCATGATAAAGGAAAGGCAAGTTTACTTCTGGGAGCTAATCTATGATGAAAAACAAAATCCAAGAACTGCATTCATTGTGCCAGAACTATCTCACAGAGTATCATCTATATGGCTTTAAGGTTTCATTTCTCAAAGTGAGAAAGACACTGGAGATAAATGTCCTGAAGTGCTTTTTCTGTCTTTCCCTACAGGAAATGGGGAATTGAAAATTAAGCAAAATTGTTCTAAGGGAAAGATGATAGGATATTGTATTTTTGTACTAAACCAAACACTAAGTGAAAATTTTGAGATTATATTTGTTTAGCCAATCAAGCTGGGGAAAAAAGATCAAAAAATTAAGTAAAAATATAAATCTTGCTTAATAATTCAGTTCATTTTCATCCTGAAGACATGCTGCTATGCAGTCTGTTGGAAGCTTATTCCCTGCATTGCAGAAACACCTTGGTACACTAGACATGGACCAAGTCTTCACTGAGGCTGGTTCTGCTGACAGGAAGGTAATTCCAGCTCCCTGTAAATTTTCACGGTAGAGACTGGCTAGAATACTGCAAGCCAGAAGCACCAAGATACAAGACAGATGTAGAGTTATAAAAGTACTGTTCCTGTCAAGGCTGTCTAGCACAGAGGACTCTCTGCATGTTAAAACTTGAATCATCATCCTCACCATCTCAAAGGAGAGTGAGGATCCCATCTACGCTGGGATGTCTGGCTGAGAACAAGAAACCGTGTCTAGTTTGGGCAAAGGACCTCTGATAATGGGAAAATAGGTGGCTCTTTTTAGCAGAGAAAAGGTGAAGCACGGTGCCTGTCCAGGCCAGAGGCATGTAATCTCCAAAAGCAGTGGTTGTGCCGGGTCACAAAGAGCAGGTACTGGTGATAACTCAAAATTCATTGCATTACAGCACGGACAGTGATGCTCTTTGCCCTCATCCCCTTACCAACCATCAGGTCTATGTTGTCCAAGCATGTTGAAGGATCATCCTATGGTGAGTATTTCAGTTACCTTACCAACCAAATCCCCCTGAAATCACTTTATTCTGCCTAGAGTACTAAGAGAAAGGTAAGTTATTGCCGCAATCTGTGCTTTGTGTAATAATACCAGAACGAGTGATACCACAAACAGGAAGGGAGAAGCAGAGAAACTTGCTGGACAAGATTCTCAAATCCAGTCTTCTTGTCTTTGGTTGCATCATCATTTATTGACAGAATTTTTAGCACATACTTCAAAAGATTACAATCAGTGCATAGTTCAAAGGTGGGGGAAATAGCTGAGGTGCTGCTCAAAAACACAGAACTGCAGGGAGAACCAAGAAAAGCAGAGCTGAAGCACTGTTTTATTCACAACATTTATATCTGGCTTTTTTTACTTCCAGTTTTGGGAAGGATGGATTATTTTCATCTATTTTTCAGTTATGCTCTCTAAACATTTCTTCAGGTGTTTGGCAGTTTGTTCCTGTTGCAACTGATTTAAGTACAAAGAATAACTTTTGCATAAAAATTGACACTTCTTGGAACAGCGGCTGGAATTCTTTTCCATTAAAATAAATATTAAAAATTAGTAAAATGTATTTTACAGCAGCATATTGAGGCCTACCATTTTTACCCCAATGAGCTAGGTTTAGACACACAATACAGGACTGGCCATTCATTCAAACAGCACCACGGGCCCACAACATGTTTCCTCTGCATCCTTCACATCCTTTTCCTTTCTGCCATATGAACATGACACTGCTGTCACCAGTTCATTCCTACTGCTTGTGCTCCCTCAACATCCACCGTAGCAAAATCATCTACCTGCCACAAACAGCACAGCTCCCATCCCAAATTGATCACTATAAATCAAAAGTTTTTAACCTCCACCTGGAGCCATATGGGCTGCACATGATGACAGCATCAGTCCAGACCTCAAGTAGGACCCTGCAGCACACCAGCACTTACCTTCTGGTTGCAGTTTCATCTAGATGTTAGCTCTAGGCTATTTTTCTACCTCTAGGAAAAGGAGCACTTATTGACCAGTCTATTGCTGCTCTTACAAGCAGCTACCTTTATATGTAGACTGTTCAGTCAGATGATTTCCCAGTTGAATCTTTGTCCAACACCTAAAAGAAGGAAAAATTATTTAATTGTTGTCTAGAACAGAAGCAGATACAAGCTCATGCCATCTGGTGTTAGTGGAGCAATGACTACACAGTTGTGATCCTGGATTTGTAAGGGAGGTACCACAGCTGGTTTGTTAATCTCCAGCCACAAACTATGTTCTTGTCTTACAGGTAAGGTGTTTGTCCTGCTGCAGCTGTCTTTAGTCACCACGGGAGTAGTGACATCTACAGTCTACAACAAGATCTATCAAAACACACTGGACTGGTACAGCGGCTTCTGCTTCATTTTGTCTTTTCTAGTTGGCTGCCTGAGTCTCCTCCCTTTAAGGTAAGAAATGGGAAAGATTTTGTTCAAAAAGACAAGTTGTATTTTCTCTGTACTTCCTGATTCTAGGTCTAAAGTTTATAATACAGGTAGGAAAGACTTTTAAAAAGAAAACCCCCACCAAGTGAATTAAGACAAAAAAAAGGAAAAAACCTTGCAGAAATGAGTTGACAAATATCAAAGAGATTCAAAGAATGAAACTTGCAATGTCTAGCCAGTTCTTTTTTAAATCTTATTTTTGTTTAATGTAACATGAATTGCTGTAGGAAGAGTATTTGGCAATTTAACAGCTAATAATCCCAGGAGACAAAGCATTCACATAAATGTGTTTGGTACTGTGAAAATAGTAATAAGTAGAATGAAGGAATAACCTGACATAAAGTAAAATGTTTTTTTTAAATTCCATTATATGTTACTTACCCATTGAGACAGAAAAGAATAATGTGAGTCTTCCTCAAATGTTTCAAAGAGAAATCATTACCACAGTGAAGGAAAAGGTTACTTTTCTGGTCCATTGAATTTGCTCAGCTGTACCACCATGGAGTGAGTGAGAGGTACAATTTCAGGAACAACTCTAAGAACAAAACCAGCTTAATTTGAAGAGACAAAGCTGAAACAACCCCTCCATCTACTTTTACAGAATTTTTGAAGGATCTCCCTCCAAATCTCACTTTGTCCATTAGCGCCTCCCCAACACTCTCCAGCCTGTTGTGTTACTAGAAACAGCAAGATTCTTTCTGTATGAAAGTGAACTGTGATAATGTCAGTATTTAATCCACGTAACAACATCTTCATTCAGATGAAGATACATAAGGCACGTACTGAATAGCCTAATGCCTGATTCCAGGCAAAATTATTGCCTAGCTCTGCTGCAGTTTAAACAAAATATAGCAGTACAAAGTCTAAAAGCACCATGTATACTGACTTCAGCTGCACCACCTAGACAGGAAGCAGAGCCTGTAAGGAAAACTCTTCCACCACCACCTCAGTTTTATCCAGAGCACCAAAGTCTTTCTGGGCTTGTGAATGCATTTGACAATCAGTGTCTTCAGGACTACTAGTGTGGGGAAGGCTACTTCCTACTCATCATTCCCCTGGCTCTGCTTTCCTCCTCAGATCTTCCAGACACGAAAGACTTGTTTCTCATTTGCAACCCTCTCTCTAACAGGGGTTACTACTAGCTATTCAAATGCTTTTTAATACAGGTTCCAAATAGAAGTACCATTATCAGTACAAACATGGGTTATTAAAGTGAAGGATGACAGATGGTGCCAATGTCTTTGAACGCACAAAAGAGAGGCTGGCAAACCACTTAGAGGAATGCCATTAGCATGCAGCCAGCTCCAGATACCCTGGCAAAGTTTAAGACATAGATGTGAAAGAGCAAACTGCGGTTTGAGAAGGTAGTTTACTAATTCTTATCATCTGCATTTTTTATTGCTCTTTGTAGCTTCGTGGCCATCAAACAACGGTCAACCACTGGCTCCCTTGAGATTCTGACTGAGTAACAGAGGCATCTTCTGGTTGTTATCATTAGCCCCTACCAACACAACAGGATACATAGCATTTATATTTCCACTTCACAGCATGCCACAACCTCTCAGCCACTAACCTCATCCAGGAAGAGATGTTTGCCTTGTTATTTCTGCAGCATGCACCCCATCCTGCAGAGTCTGTGTATTAGCTATTGCACACCAGCAGTCTTCAGAGCATTCTGCTCTTTGCTACGCTGGTCAGCAATACCAAAGAAGTACAACAATACATGCTAGAAATGAAAATGGCATTTCCAGACACATCGTTCAGAGTGAAAACGGAAAGCAGAGGATCAGTTTCTTCTTGTTTGTTCATTCAGAAATCTGAGGGCAGTGCTGTGACTTTGGCTGATGAAACAGGGCTGCAAGCCACATGCCATGTGCACAGGGCCATCAGCAGGACACACCGGCTCTCCACCTCCTGCACATGTTATCAGCCCAGGCAATTAATTATTAAATAGAGCAATAACACCATAAAAATATGTCACATTAACGGAATTTTAGTAATCCCTACAATAAAACACCCCTGAACAGATGTTTATGTCCCTGATTTCTGGGAGAATGTCACACTGTCCCTGGACAGTGCTCATGGGAGGACTAAGACCCAAGACCTAATGATGGTGTTTCACCTCACACCACCACAATGCTCTACGCCTGTCACAGGTTAAGAACAGGTAAGTGCAGCACACAGCTCCTACAGGATTTATCGAGGCGTAAGGACACTGATACCATGTAATAGTCACTGTGATACCTCAGCTGTTATCTGGAAAGGAATCTCACACCTAGCATGAGACGATGTCACATAAATCCAAACATGAGTCAAAAGTGTGGCATGTCTCACGAGGATGTGTCTGCTTACATGCTAATCGAACTAAGAAGGATTAAGCGGCTTCCAAGGTCCTGGACTAAGTAAAGGAAGTTAAAAGTCCTTAAATAACTGAAATAATCTGGAGGCAAATCAGGCAGCTTCAGTTCGAGCCAGGGGCATAGCAAGCAGAAATTGGTTCATCATTACACAATCCCTTCCTCTGAGGAAGTTGCTGTCACCCTGTCCCCCCCCATCCTCCCCCCTCCTCCAATCTTTCCTCAGCTCCTTCACTTTCAGTACCAGAAGTAATGAAAAAACAGGTCAGATGATTTCTATTTAGATCAACTGTGGAAGAAGATTTTAGGGGAAGAATATTTCTGCAGTAAGATAGTGAGCTGCTTAGCAAAATAAGCACATGCATAATTTCACCAGTGAAGACTGCAAAAAAGTGAAACTTTATTCTAAGGAGTAATTTTTTAATACATTTATTGATCCATTCCATTAAATTAATTGAGGTAAACAAATGGTCCATTTAAAAAAAAAAATGTACACAGTAATAGAGAATTACAAACAGTTTTACCTCAAAGCATTTTTCTCCATCAATACTAGCTCCATAGTAAACAATGCATAAAGTATATTTAAAGAGACATATGAAAGGGTATAGAAACATGCCAGCACCAGAAGGCAAGACAATATTTCCTAGCCTGTGAGTCTGAACAAGAGCATAGTTGCCAGATTTGACCAAGTACAGGAAACAAAAGCCTCCTTCCCATTTTTACATTGTTTACTAGCTAATTCACACAGAGACAAGTATTTTCACAGCTTTCATTTTGTATTTTAATGGTATGAACAGTGACTCTAGTTCTGGTGAGTGGGTTTATAGAGTGAAAGCAGAAGAGTCTGGACAAGGAACCAGCACCATTTGGTCCCCATCACTGACACCTTCAACACAGTATGTGAAGCTCACAGTCAGCTTGTCTTCTGCATGGCACAACTCTCCAGACCTTAGGGAGGGACAGAGGGATACAGGCACAGAAAAGTGAGAACAAGGACGGTGCTTCTTTATTTTTGTGAACTGTAGACAAAAGCCCTTTGGCTCTTATTGTAAGACTGGCCCTCAGCAACCCGTCTCCTTGTGCAGTGAGAATGCTGCACTGGCCACAACACTGCAGCTTGATGTGAAGGTATGGATACACATCCCAGCACCAGGGTTAAGGAAATGGCTTCACTTCAAAGCACAGAATACCAACACCTTCAAAGCAGTCTAGGACAGTGACTAACCTTGTCTTAGCATACCATTTACCTAAGGGTGATCTACTTATACCTCTTTGGAAAGCTCATTATTTTCTGCAAATTTACTGTGTTTTAGGCATGCAACCTTAAAACTTGTCCAGTCCATTACTAAGTACAAGTCAGATACTTCAGCAAGACTTTCAAGTGCTAAGCACAGAAATAAGCACTGCCATTTTAGTTTGTAAATTGGCTCAACAGCACTCCCAAAAAGTTTTAAATGCCACATTCAATCTGCCAGAAGGCAAGTTTATTCTTGTGATCCCCAGTTTTACTTCACAAGAGGAAAAAGAATCCAACGAGTAGTAGCAACTTGCCTGTCTTTAAAAAAAGTCCAGATTTTCCCTATGTGTTGTTGTAGTAAAAGTTAATATACCCAAGGAAGAATGTTCCACCTTCAGAATTTAAGATGACAGAACATCTAATGAGCTAATTTAGTCTATACAATTTTGTCCAGTGGTAACCAGGACAAGGATTTTCAACAGTCTGCAACAATAATTGTAACGACATCCAGTTAAATAGTGCAAGTTTTAACAAAAGCATGGCTCCTGTTAAAATAATGAACAGTCCCTGCTATCTGGGAAAGAATTCTTTTGTACCCTTGCAGCTGCAGGACTGACACCTGAAGAAGCGTGTCATGAACAGGCCATGCAGTGCCACTGCTTCACGGCTACTGCACAGTGCCTCCACAGAACTGTCTCTGCCACTCCTGTTTCTATCAGTTATAACATGTATCACTGGAATAACTGTTTCTATCAGTTATTCCACTACTTTATCCTCAGCACAAGTTTTAGTGCAGCAAAAATCCACGTAGATTTCAGTGAAGAATCCTACTTCATTCTTTAATGTAACTCGCACCAAAACTGTTTGTGTCTTTAGGGCTACACATACTACTTTTTCATTTTCCAATGTATACCTGAAAAAGCCATGATATTCTAACATCTATGTTTATTGCAAGATTTAGATCCTGATAAAGGCATACATGAACAATGCATGGTTCATTACTGAGCATAGAAACAAGAGCCCAGTACCTCCTTTATTGTGCTGGTGCCACTTAAGAGAAGAAACAAACACCACAGAAACTATACAGAAATAACTGGGCAGCTGTGAATTATGCATCCACTGAGAGGGCCTTGCCCTGGCTAAGGATTATGGGGAAAACTGTGCTGATTTAAGACTGCTGAAAGAACCTCATTTTAAACAGGTTCATAAAAAGGGCACCAAGTACTTTTGGTGTCATTTTGGTGCATGTGCAGAGAGTCATCTTCAGTTACTTAACACTCAACAAGTTATTCAAAGGTGAAGCTCCTGCACTACTCCTGCTTCCATTTACCAACATCTTCTGTTTCTCTCAGAGAAGTGTGGACCATCGAAAGTACAGACTTCCATTCTATAGAGACTACAGGATAACATGTTAAGAGGTTCAGAACTCAACCTCCTTCTAACAGCAGTTATGTGATACAATGTCACTCTGCACATTTTACAGGAATTTCCTGCAAATATTGTAGTTTTCCTGACTGGCATGGTTGTCCCAAACATCACAGTCAGGATCCTCCCTACATCTCACCCACAGCCTCTCCCTCAGTCACTTTGTGATTTACAACAGCTCTTCTTAAGAACAGACCACAGTCCGTAGGAACTGAGATCCACCTATGCACACCCTTATTACACTGCAGCAATTCTTGCAGAGGACTTCTCCTTTGAATGTCAAGTTTTACCTCCCATGTAGGAGCTTAAGAGGTTTTGGTCCAGATCACATAAGACAGCTCGATCTTCAGCAGCTCCAGCCTCAACAGTTACATGCTGATTTGAACTTCACTTGGTACTCTCCACTGTCCATTATGCTTCTCTTGAACAGCTGTGATGCTAATTGCTGAACTCCCCAGAAGCAACACCTGCTTCAGTTTGACATAAAGCAAAGCAGGAGGAGTCCCTTAGTGTTGTAAGGCATCAGATGAAACCACCTGTAGGAAAAAAATCACCATTCTTTCTACTCATGTTGTGCTGTTTATTTTAATAAGGTGGTGGGAAGACTGACTAAATATTAGTTAAAAATATATTTTGCTCGAGTTCCAGTGATGTTGTAGAGTCAACTACAAAATTCCATTTTTTCCACGTTCTTTTTGAACTAATTCAAAAAGCATGTTGATCTTTCTTTGTGGAAAATGGGGAAGACTGTAATCCTGAAGGACAGACTGTTGGATAGTATGCAAGTGCTTATTCTAGATTGCTTCAAGATGATCCCCTTAAGTACTTCCTCTGAACAAGAGGAGTCTGTGATTCTGAACCTAACAGTAACTTAAACCAGAGTTCTCATTTACACCAAAAAGTGCATATTGACAAACTGATCTTAAAACAAGAAACACAGTTTGTTTAGTACCATAGAGTTGTCAATGAAGGCTGAGCCAAAAAGAAAAAATTCTTAAAATGTCTAATATTTTACTTTTTCATGCAGAGAGCACCATGAGCTGCATGTTCAGTTGGTGTTAATGAAGAAATAAATTCCAAATCAGACTAGTACCTGATGGGTTGTTACAAGAGAACAGAGAACTTGCACAAAATTTATCACTGCTCACATTCTTTGCAAGAACATTGCCAGAGAACAAGTAATCACTCCAATTTAGCAGTAAGCACAGAGTTATTTATTGCCCTAAATCCCAGTATTACACTCATATGAGTCCCAGCCCCCCTCACTAGAATGGTTAAATCACATCAGTATTCCTAAGGCCATTAACACCAAGCAGGCATTTACTTGAGGTTGGACTGCAAGAGCAAGGACAAAAAAGGACTTGCAGAAGCAGCTGCAATTCTGAAGGCCAACAGAAACTACTAAGAAAAGAGATCTGTAACAAAAGTGGTCCTAAAAGACTTGCCATGTGGTTCAGCAGAGACATGAACACTGTGCACCTAACAGGGTACCCATCTATCCCCCACCAACCCATCTAAGGCAAGTTTCACACACACTGATGCTTGGTGGAAAGGAAGCATTTGACACCTTTTGGCTTTTGGCTGCTGCAAAGAAAGCATGGGGAAAGAAATGAGTTCTACTTTTACTACAGCAGGCATCTTAGGTGACCAAGCCTAAAGTGGCTCTAGTGAAACTCATATACAAAGCAGGGTGTAAGAGATCTCCACCACGCAACTTCCAGAGCTAGCTTTGGAAAATTAAAGACTCATACTTCCTCCCCCATTCCCACAACCCGTGAAAGGCTCAGTCCAACTCATTCCCGCAGCTAGGCTGGTTTTGATCCCCAAGTCAGTCACAAGTACACTTCAGCCAACTGACATTACTTCATAATCACCAAGGTAAACAAAGATACTCAGTATGAACCAACAGCATGCCACACTCACAAAAACCACAGTTCATGCTTCCAACACCAGCTGTCTGCAGCTGGTGTTGGTATGGTCTGTCTAGAAATAGCCTGACTCCCAGACAGAAAAGTCTACAGAGACCATTTCATCCAGAGGGAGCACACTGGTGGTAGCAAAACAGAAAATATTCTTTCCCAGCCTTTCCTTGTCCATTCAAAAAAAAAAAAAAAAAGATTGGTTAGGGAGTACTGTATCATAGAAATAATTTTTTTTTAAGCAAACAAAACAGAATGGTAATAAAGATGTCATTTGGCACCTTGCAGTAGAGTTTTATTTTCATCTTTTTAGTGTTCCACTCATCAGTTCCTTCCAGACTAGAGAGGTAAATTTTATCAAGATCCCCATGCACTTTCTCCATGAACCCCAATCACTCCATAGAATAAAGAAGGAACCATTCAAGATAACTCAAAAAGATGAAACATACCCCAGTTTAAACACAAAAATTGAAGAAAAAAAAATTTGAATAGGCTGGAACAGATACTCTGAAAAACTAAGTGCAGCTGTCATTTCAGTTAACTTAACAAAAAGAGTCCTCCATACAGTTCCAGTATGACTAGTGGTACTGAGCACAGAAGTGCTAGACTGTCCATGAAGGTACTTCTTATTTGGTCTCTGGCTTGTCTTGCAATAGTGGTATAATTGACTCCCACGCCGTAAGGCACTAAAGAAAGAAAGATTTACAAAATTTAATTTATATAACTTCTGACCAACCCTTCCAGACCAACAGCATGCAAGATGAAAAGTTATGTGGGTCTTTATAGATTACTACAGAAGGGGAGAAAAAAAACAGAATGTCAAACAGCAAAGAAGTGTTAGAATAGCTGCACCTCCCAAACAAATTCAACAAATTCAAGTTTTCCAGAGTCATCAGCTGGCCCAAGCCATTAAAAATCATCAGAACACCCAGGATTTCCAAATACTAAGCTAGATTTTTCTAAACTGAAGAATACCACAGCTTTCAGCTAGGCAGATGAACTGTTTTGAGTAGAAATATACATCTTTGTGGCGTGACTGTGGGTGAAGGCTGATTTGGACAGAATGGCAGTTATAACAGATTACCTCCAGCAAACTTATTTGAAAGAAAACATGCATTTAGGGAAGTTAATTCTGAGACACAGTGCATTCCAGTATGGCTCTGAGACTCGACTCCACTACAGGACGAACTCGTAGTGCCTGGTATAGTAAACTGTAAGTGTAGCTTCTGGGTTATTAGAAAGCCACTCCAGGCTTTAGAGTAATTTTCCCAGACACGTACACTTAATATACTCCTTGTGTTGTTACTGTGTGTTGTTACTGTCTTTCAACCACACAGACCCCAGAAGTCAAACTGGGCAAATGCAGACTGTGAAATCCAAATTATTAAATGCTGAAAATGGGCAAACTCATCAGCAGCTCTTATATCCACAAGTCATTGTTGAAAGACACCCTTCTTCTAACCTTGGTGATTGTACTGCAGATGAATAGAGTACTTCTAGTTGTATACCCTGAAGTGACTGGACACTTTATTACCTAAAAACCTTCTTTGCTAAAAGCAAAATTAATGTACAGATCTAACTGTCAATTGCAGAGGCACTACTGGATGTTCAGTGACATCTCTAATATCTCTCTCCACAGCAACCTTAGAACTGAGATACCAGGGTTAAGGAAGTTCTGTGTGAGCAGTTATGAACTATCATTAGAAGGGGAAAAGGTACTGCATACTAATATTACACGGAGAGTAACAGCACAGGAAGAAGTTTGTAAAGTAGATGTACACAAATGAACAGACAAGATGAAGTATAGTTTACTAGGCAATGCATAAACCTAGTAGTTCTAGCAGTGTTTAATATTTCGTAAATATTTAATACACCTAAAGGGGGCTCAGGAGACAGCTGGAGAAGGACTTTGTACAAGGGCTTGTGGTAACCGGACAAGGGACAAGTGCTTCAAACTGGAAGAGAGCAGCTTTAGATTAGACAATTAGGAAGAAATTCTTTACTTTTAGGATAAAAAAACACTGGAACACCTTGCCCAGAGAAGCTGTGCATGCTCTATCTCTGGAAGTGTTTTTGGTTCATGCACAGGGCTCTGAATCACCTACTCTAGTGAAAGGCACCCCTGCCTCTAGCGGGAGGTTGAAACATATATGACCTCTAAGGTCCCTTCCAAACCATTCTGTGATCCATGGTATCAACCACTGCATTGGGCTGCACTGTTCTAGCACAAAGGAAAATTAGATTGGAAGCATATGCAGTTAAATGTCAAGGTCCTTTTAATTAAAAATAAAAAAAATCTAACACGAAACCTCAGGTACAAATGCACCAACAGAAAAAGGCAGAGGCTAGATGTTTTCAGGACTAATACACAAGGGACAAAACGATGCACAAAGGGACAGGGATTAGAATAACTTACACGTAGCAGATGTAATCTATATATGAGTCTGTGCATGTGCATTAACTCAAGCAGTTTGGTTCAGAAAAGGCAGAATCAAGGGATTTTTCTACTGTGGTAGTACTACTAGTCTGTGTGATTCTGGGGTTTTTTTTCATCACTACTGCTGCTGCTCAGTAATTTGTTCAATTCAGAAGTGCAAAACAGACAAGCATGCATGATAAAATGTTGTTAGAGTACTGACTCGCAAAAGACCACTAGTCTTACAGAGTTCACTTGACCACAACTTCCAACTCTGACAAAGAGCAGCTTCAGATGTCTAATATTCTTGTCTTCAAGACAAGGTTAAGATTTCCCGAAGAATTATCACCATTTCAGAGGAAAATAAACAACTCTTATTCCTGCCAGTGCTCCAACAGTGACACCTACCTTCTCGTAGTACTGGATGTTTTTATCTGCCATCCCCATGAGTAGCTGCCTAAAGTCTTGTCTTTTGTTGTTCTGCCATCTCTCCATATCTGCTTTCAGGTCAGCATTGAAACATTCTACTCGGTCTTGACATTTCTCAACATCTGCGGGTACCTGCAGCAAAATAAATGAAGATTAGAAGTGCCAGTACTGAGTGCTAGACTGCTGAATTAGCTCAAACCTCACTGAGCGGAACTATAGAAGAAAGGGTAAGTTCATAACCCAGTAGTTATCCTGAATCAACGAGTTATGGCTGCAGGGAAAAAGCGCTGGAGAGGATATGAGATTTCTTAATTTGTTAGTTGCTGTTTGAGGTGGTGAGCGCTTGTGCTTGTCCATCTCCATGCCTGATACAGAGGCATGGAGGAAGCACTTGCACAGGAAAACCATTTGGTGTAAGTACTGGTACTGAGGCTCACTTCCTAGGGCTCAAACTAAGCAGCTTGGCTTCACAGCAAACTTTTCTGCTTCCCATTTACAGCTGCAGTAGGAATGTCCCAATTTACACCAGTGTGGATATAACAATAAACACTCAGGTTTTTCAAAAAAGGTAGGTAAGACACCTCAGTATTGACAGCTGCAGAATAAAATTTCTAAGTCCTTTCTCGCTTTCACTTTTAACCTTGCGGGCTTCCTGAACAAAATTTAACTGCAAAGCACTCATGATCATCAACATGGGATAGGCTCATGGACTTTTAGGCTCAACAACAGGGATGCAACAGGCAAAAGCAACAGATGACATCTTGAAGGACAGACTGCTGCAAGCTGAGGTGGAGATTTAAATGAATTTTTGACACTGACCCAAGGTACATACACTTTAGATCAACTAAGTTGGTATCCTTTGCTTATGTTGTAACTAATATAATGTATACCACCAGGCAAATACAGGAATAATTTACTACTGTTTCCTCAAGCAGGAAAGCCGAACACCTTTTTTTCCCTTCTCATTGCTGCATGAGAAGGAATCCTGGAAGGGCATGCAGACTAAGCCAAGAAGGAATCCTGGAAGGGCATGCAGACTAAGCCAAGAATTCAGAAGAGAAACTCCTGAATCCTGGTACCAAATTGAGAAGTGAACTTTTGCACTGGACGCTGTGACTTGCACAAAGGCAAAATACAGAATGAAGAACATTCGAAGAACTTTGTGGTGGCTCCTCTTGTACTTGATACTTTCAGTAATCACCCTTTCTGAAGGGTGTGAAAGAAGGAAGAGGATGAACAGACTAGATAAGAAGCTTTTCATGAATACCTACATGAAGTTAGAGGTGGGTTACTATCTTGCAGTTTGGCAAGGTACTCAATTTAGGCAGAAACACACCAACTGTGTTTCTGCTCCAGGACACGGATTAGGGGTGATCACTTTATTACTCAGCTATTCTTCAATAAACCAACCTGTTTGAGATCCAGGAGTTCTTTATTGAAGTTCCATATTCACACTCAATTTATACTACAGGCAGCTTGGAGGTTCAGTGCATACTTTTCCTCCCTGCTGTGTCTGAGCACTATACTTATGGCTACAGAATTCACTCTGCTACAACTCCAGATGAAGTTCCCCCACGGACTGCAGACAAGAACAACCAAGCCTGTGACTGGAAGGTTTAGGAGATGCCCCCCTCAAGGCACGTATGCCTTGCATTATAAGTACTCTACTGTCTTAATGGGAAAGGCTAGGCTATCAAGAGAAATATTTATGAAGTCTGGAAGCAAAACCACATAAGATTTCCCAATCCAACTAACAGCTTCTAAGCACTCACCGGCTCCCTGCTTCTTCTGCCAGGATCTGAAACCACAATGAAGATAAGCAAAAATCTGTTCTTTCTCACAGCAAGTTCTCTGGCTGGTCAGGCTGAGAGGGTTGTATGAGTTTAGAGCTACAGGGATAACCCAGTCAGCAGATGTGTCACGTGTGCTCTCATCACGGAACAACAACAACAACAACTAACTCCAGCTAAGTGTCCAGAGACATCATGAAAGTAGTGTCTCCACATGCAGCAGTCCTATCTGGGTGTGCAAATGCCTTACCTTATAAACTGCAGCTTCCTAGTACATAAATTGCAACTCAGTAGTTACGACAGAATTTAAAGTTAATTAATAGCTTTTAAGCACTTTATATCAGTGCAAACTCAAATGCAAAGAGATATTATGTGTTTATCTTCAAATCTGGGCCTAAGTTGAAGTATCAAAGCTGATGCTTTTATCTGTTTTTACCAATGGAGACACTAAATATTAGCTAACAACTAAGAACCAGGAAGAAAGTCAATTGGACTCAGGGGGAATGCTACTTCTTTACTGATACCTGCTCTCAGCTACTCAAGCCACAAAACCAAACCAAGTGACAACTGGTTCAAACTCCAACACCTCTTAAAGGGCCCAGGACTATTTTAGCAGTCAATTTCAACTGATGAGAGAGGTATATGTAGGCAAGAACTGAGCCATATATGATATGGGGTTCTGCATTTGCATCTAATCTTCGTGACAATTCTGTTGTCTTAAAATCTAAGCTTGCCTAATATCTGTAATTCAGTGTGGTCGATTACAAACAGCGTGTCCACTTTAAAACTCCTCTACATCATCGTTACCAAGTAACAAATGGTCCTAAAGCAGAACAAATCCAGCATTAATTAGACAACTAATCTTTGCAAAAGATATTTCTACCTTCCTAGGTCTTGGGAAACTGTTATCTGTTACAAGGCCTTTCTTCCCCCCACCTTCTATTCAAGTTCTGTACTGCTGTATTTACTTTTCCCATAGATCACCACACTTCAAAGCCTTGAGGAAGACAGAATAAAATAGACCATAGGAGACAAACTTCACCTCACCAAAACAAAACCACACCCATCCTTCAGTGTGCTGGTTAGATTACTGCAAAATCAGCTTCAGCATGTGTCAGAAATGTGTGAGAGAGAGGCATTTCAATACCACTGCACATGTTAGAAACTGAAAGGCTCCAGACTCCACATGAACACCATGATGCTACTGGTAAACACCACCCACACTGTGGTGTGAGCCACTGTGGCATTCACATTTTCTGAAAAATCCCTTTGCCCAGGATTTTTCTCCTGGGAAACTGAGAAGCTTCAGAGAAAAAGGAAAACAATTATTATCATCTCATTTGCTTCTCCTGTGTTTTGCTCCTTCGGAATGTGTTTGGAGATTGTTCACACACAGGTGATTGCTCCTTTGGATTCTGGTGTGAGTTGTTTTTACTCTTTGGCCAACCAGTGCCAAGCTGTATCAAGACTCTGGAAAGAGTTGTGAGTTTTCATTATTATCTTTTTAGCACTGAGTAAGTACCTTTGCTGTATTCTTTAGTATAGTTTAGTATAGTACTCTTTAATATAATATAGTATTATAAAGTAATAAATTAGCCTTCTGAGAGCACGGAGTCAGATTCATCATTCCTCCCTGCCACGAGGGTCCCTGCAAATACAGTAAGCCACTGTGGTGGCTTTTGGTATAAGCTTCAGCATTCTGAGCAGTACCTGCTGACAGAGAGCCACAGCAGCACTACAAGCCTTCTGCATTCATAGGCCACTGAGCTCTAGGCTGACTTCACTGCCAGAACAATCTGATGGCCTGGTGAGCTCTGTGATGCCAGGCTGGGTATGTGTGCAGGAGGCCCAGAATGCCCTCCAGTGAGAGATTTTTAAGTAGTGATAGGTTTGTCTTTCAAGAGCTAAACAAAGGCCTTTGTTCTCTTAAGGTTTAGTTTGGGATCTTTTTACATCATTTGTACCAAATCAGCAAATATGCCAAGGAAGACAAATGCCATTCCACAACATGACCCTCAGCCAGCTTTTAGTTTCCAGCAAGTCACAGCCAGGAGACCTTGCTGAATATAAGACATAATGCTAGGCACAGCTCTGAGCTACCAGCTCTTACAGATAATGACATATCCTCCAGCTGGAAAGGTTCTGAAAAACCCAGAGAGAGTATTTTGTGAACATGCAAGGCGTTCCACACAGTTTGTTCAACTTCATCTTGTAAATGACACAAACTATTTCTGATACAAAAATGTACAAGAGTTGCCAAAAAATATCCTGATACTCTGCAGAGGAGGTGTAAGTAACCAAAAAAATATTCCAAAAGTTATTCAAAATAATCCCTCTGAGATATGAGATCCAAAGGACTTTTAACATGTGCAAGATTAGCAAAATTCATCAGTTCCACTGCATCAAGGTCTTGGTACAGTCAAATGCTTAAGAACTGGCTTGCTGGAAATGCTAGATTTAGTTCCCTCCATCCCAAATACAACTGTTAGCACCTGTTTATACAAAGCCACACTGAGGAAGGAGAGTGTGTACCACACCAGCCAGCAGAGGGGTGGGCAGTAGACCCAAATAAAGAGCACCACAAAACACCTAGTACACCACTATGTGTAGCTCATTATAGACAAAAGATCAGAAAAACACTTTAGCATTTCTATGCTATCATCCCCTTCAGCTTCTTAGATTCAAAATACTATGTGAACCTACTGTAGAGTGAACCTTATTGTATAGTACTCATAATACTGGAAAATCATACATTAATTATTAACACAAATGTAAGGGAAACCAATAACCTCCAAGCAGAGGAAGGGAACAAACCCTGTTGCCATCATCAGTTAAAGCTGCAGTGATTTAAGAAAAGGCTCTTGCACTGTTTCATGCAGAAGCCGGTGGCAGCATAAGCATATGAGTTCACAGCTTTGCTTTTGCATGGTGCCCAGCATCAGAGTCATCCAGTGACACATGCCATCTCTGCTCAGCATCACACAGCTAGAGTTCCCTAGCAGAAAGGGCAAAAAAAGGAGTTTTCCACAGCCAAATGCAGTGTTCTGCAACAATACAGTTCCACAGTGCCAAGGATAGGATTTTAACTCAGCTAGCTGGCATACTGCTGAGTCACCAGGGACTGTTCTACCAATGCACTGCTAACCTGTCACTGAACAGCCCAATTGACTGCTGGCTGCTGTTGAAGTGTTATAGAACCATCCTGCTCTAAACTGTGAGAGATCAGTAGTTCAGAAGTTGTTAAACAAGTTACATATACTTATACTTAGGTCTTTATTTCACAGATGCTTGCCAACAACAAATTTCTGTTCTGCCAAAAACTGCTTATACTGCAAAGAAGCCCCCAGATCCAGGAAAAAAGCAAGTTCTGCTTCTCCATTCTTTACAGGAAGTAGTGTAAGTGCAAACTGTTTTTGCAGAGCAATTTTAATTGCTAACCTTTGGACGGTCTTCTCTTTTCAAGGCTACTGCTTCCAGTTTTGCTTCATACTCCGCTTGGACTTGGTCCCTCTTCTTCAAAACATTCTATGGGCAAGAGAAAAGACAGCTGTGAAGGGATCCTCTTGTTCCTTCCCCCAGTCCACAAGAAACTCTAAAGTGATACATCTTCAGTGCCAAGTAAGCCCGAAGTCAGACTTCCAGATTTACTTTGTCCTATTTTACAGCATTTAGGGAGTAGCTTTTGATAAGGAACAGCACTTGCTCTCCATCAGCTGGCAGGGCAGATAAAATTCAACATTTTATCAAGCTGGAGGCATGCAATATAGAAGCAATCATGAAACCATTAATATAACTTTGACCAAGTAAATTTAATTCATCAGTTGACCTATTACTACCATGAAATGGATACAAACGAAAGCATCAAAGCTGACGAGGACTAATGTAAAGTTTCTGATATTCTCAAGCAGCATTGGCTAAGAGACAGGAAGACCACCACAGAAGGTATTACAGCTGCCTTTTCACTTGCAAAGACTCTTCAGAATCCTTTAAAGCAAGCTGTCACATTCTGGTGTTAGAGCAAAAGGAAGCCTTTATTTTAGATCAGGCTGGGGGGGGGGGGTTTAGTTGTCAGTTTAATTTAAAAAAAATTTGAAAAGGACAATTTACATGAAAAGCACTGGACTGCCTGAGAGAGCTTCTCAAGCAGTAAACATTTTCTTGACAGAGTATTTCAAAACAGAGAGACAAAGATGCTACCCCTTAGCTTGTACTATATCCACAAAGAACTTCACTAAGTTTATACTACAGTCTTACAGTTTGAAAACAACCACAGGAATTAGTCTTTCTAAGAATCACTTACTAAAAAAATAAACAGTTTTGTGTCTGCAAGAGCAGGCCACTTACCACTTCAGGTTTCACAAAGAAACAACTAGTAGTTTTTAATTCCTGTGTTGATGCAAAGTTATTCTTAAAAATGCTCAGAGGGAAGTCAGCCAACACTCTCTGTAAGTTTGAAATTCTCTTGCAGCTAACTTGGCTTTGAGTCTTCCCTTCTGCCACCTAGAAGGAATTGTCCCATTAGGACGCCAAGTGGTAACTAGTCACTACAACAGGTCCAGACAAGGCTAGTAACACAGGACTAGTCATGTGCACTGCTGCCTACAGAAATATGTTTTTAAATGAGTAGCTCCTCGGAGCTCTAACAGCCAGTCTAGATCTAATTAAGAGCAACTAAGGACATACAAATCCTGTACGTACTAATCATGATCATCCCCTCCTCCTTCTTAAGCCAAGAGAAGGTCACTGTGATAAACAGGTGTGATTCGTACTGATAAAATCGAAACAATAATCAATATGGATATAGTAATCAATATCACCAATGCAGTTGCTCTAGAGTGGAGACCTTCAATCCATGATAAATGGGAATGGCACCCCATCCGCAAAGCTACTATTACATTAGTCAATAAAAAGAGGGCAAACCTGAAGAGATTAATTCTTTCTTTTGTTTCAAAAGGGATGCAGAAGCATACCACTGGTTGTGTTTGGTTGAAAAACCACAGCACTGCCCCTTTTGAATCTATGCAACTATGTGGGATGGCCTTTAAGTGACTGAGGTTACCAATGCAACAAAAGTCTGAGAGATTTAATAGATATTTCTGCTTTGTATTGTCTCTTGAACCTGAATCAACTGAAATTTCTTCTGTGAAAAACAACTGCCTCCAGCAACTGCATTTTGCCTTTAGAAGCCTGGAGTTAGCACTGAATCTGTAGCAGGAGTAGCCAATGATTAACAGTTATTGGCAAACTGGATTCAAAGAACAGGTGTCTTAATTGCCCTTAAGCATTCAAGTCCACCTACTGGGGACCACTAACAATGAGCTTGTGAATACAGTTTTAAGTATCCCGTAATGACTGACCTGTAGGTAATGAAAAAAATTTTGCCCTCCCTTTCACTTGTCTCGTATTTTCCTCTGGCACCTCCAAGCTATCTCCTCTGTTCTAGATCAATGCCTTGATGTTTTAGCAGCAATTATGAAAAGCTCTGCACCAAGTATCCTCAAAATTACCACAGATCATGCAATACGAATTAAGGCCTCACTCAGGGAGAAAAAAAGGTTTTTTTTTTTTAAAAAAAAAGTTGGAAGAAACCAAATTCAAAACTGAAAAACCTCAACCAACACACTTCAGTTATTTCAGGTCAAAAGTAACTAAGTGGTGTCTGAGCATGGAAGATTTAGCCTAGTTTCAGGAGGTCCTTCACCATTTTGTATTTCGTTGAAATGTTCCACCTTGGCCCACACAGAGCTTCGGGAGCTTGCCATCAGCCTCCTACCTCAAATTTCAATTTGAATCCTGTTTGTGCACCACATAGCTTCCTACTGTGACTAAACATCACAGGAGGATCCCTAGCTACTTACATAGTTACCTCGTAGGGTGGTGCTTGCTTAAAACATGCATTAAAAGTATTACCCAAGAACACCCCAGGGGATCACATCACTTGGTAAACCTTTCTAGCAATGTTGAGCAAACAGAAGTTATATAACATCCTAATATCTGCAATGAATCATGTACAGGAGATTTTGTCCTTTGCATGCGCCTCCCAGGGCAACACCAGTGTACATCAGCAAAAGTGGTACCGCGTTTGCTGACAAGGGCCTCACTGCACCAGGAACTGAGACATCACCTTGCCAGTTAATAGAAACCATAGAATACCAGGCTGGAAGAGACCTCAAGGATTATCTCATCCTACCCTTCTTGGCAAAAGCACAGTCTAGACAAGATGGATCAGCACTCTCTCCAGCTGTATCTTAAATGTGCCCAGTGTTGGGGAATCCACCACTTCCCAGGAGACATTATTCCAAAGGATAATTGTTCCCATTGTGAAAATTCTCCTCGTGTTCAATGAAAATGTCCCCAGGAGTAATTTGTACTGATTGACCCTGTTTTTCCATGGGTCCCCATGTGAAAAGAAAGCTTTAATCATATTTGTACTCAATCCTTAAACACTGGTAGATGGTGGTAAGATTTTCTCTCAGCCTTCTTCCTCAAGGTTGAACACACCCAACTCTCTCAGCCTTTCCTCATACAGCAGGCTTCTCAGTCTCTCGACCAGACCCTCTTCCAGACCCTCTTATCTTTTTGTGTGCAGCAGGGATAAAAACTGAACACAGTTGTGGCCTAAGCAATGCTGAGCAAGGCAAGTAATTTGGAAAGAGTCTCTTCTAGACACTTCCAGCACACATTTTAACTCAAGCCCATGACACCAGCTTCTGCCCTGTTCTGCAAATCTTTCTAACAAATCCAGAGGCTAGGCTTCCCTCAAAACAGCTAATATTCTATTCAGTAGAATATTCAATATTCAATTCTATTCAATATTCAAACAGAATACGGGGCTTTGACTCCATATGTGCAGTTCTCTCAGGCTCTTCCCCTTAGGTACAACAGTGCTCCTGCAGACATCAAGACCTCTTCATCTCTGAACAGTGACAATAATCTGGAAGCTCTTACTCAAGGGACATTCAGCTATAAACTGCTCTATAGATCACATTCCCATACCTACACCAGGGGTACAGTGTGCAACAAAGAAAGCTTGCCCTGAAAGGTTGCCCTAAACTCCTAGTACCTGAAGAGTTACCCTCCATCAAGTACCCTGCACAAAAGATATTCTCTGAAAGAACAAAACAGACTTTCATCTCACAAGTAGTCCTCACAGCAGCTGATGAAGAGGAATGCACTGCTAGTGAAGAGGACAACCCCTTCAACAGAAAGTCTCTCCAAGGGTACACTCCTTACTAACCTTGGTTACTTACTTAGCGTTATGGATTTTTCAAGGACAGTTCAGTAGTTGCTCACTTCAGAAACAGAACGGGCTGATGCTTTCTAGCAGAAGAAAGCTGCACTTTGTAGAACCTGAGAGAGTTCAGTTTTGCTATCTGAGAGGGAAGGAAAATACAAACCGTCTCTCTTGGCTAACAATAGTTTTTGTTCTTGATTTCCAAATTTTTAGACTGAGTAAAGCTAATAAGATGTCCAAGCCAGACACTAAACAGCATACTTGTTTAGAGCACTAGAAAGTCAAGTCAACAGTCTAAAAAATTCAAGCTAAAAAGCAAGAGTTTCTTTAGCTGAGCAAGTACTTTAGAAAGTAAAGTAACTGTTGGCTTGGAGACAGTGCCATTCTAAAAGGGCTCTAAAGACCAAAAGGAAGCCTAGATGCAAGTCTGTAATGCCGCTCTGCCTGTGGTGAGTGGTGATTATCTGCCTAAAGTACCTCTTCAGATGAAGAAACCCTGGCTTTCAGCTTAAAAAAATTTCCCCTGCTGTATTTTTGAAGAGCACCTCTCACAATTCAGCTTGCCCCTTCAGACGTCATCTTTGGTAGGCATTTTTAGCATCAAAAGCCAGATGTTCTGAGTTAAAGTATTTTAACTCACTAACCTCATGCTCTGTTTATTTGTAAGCACACTCCATCTGCCTGCACTTCCTACAGTCCAAACATCCCGAGACAAGGCTTCCTACAGCTCACTGTGTTCAAGCAATAGACCCATAAAGAAAATACACCTCATTTACGCTGGGGTCAAATCCATGGTGACAAAAGCAAAGAATATACCCAGGGAATTAGTGCAAAGCCACCTGCAAGAATACTTTAACCACACAAATGTACAGCTCCTGAAGCTGAGAAAAGACATCTACAAGAAAGTATTTAAATTCTCAGTTTGAGAAGCATAGGATGAGATTAAGATAGAGAAGGACTACCATGTTCAGACTGTAAGTTTACAGTGGGCTATTAGATCTGTAAAGGAGTGCATATCACAGCCTTGTAACAGCTGTTCCAAGTGGAAAGTCTTCAGAAGGAACTTGTCTGTTAGTACCCTGTAGCGGGACTGCTATATGTATCTATATATGGCACACATACTGTGCCACAGGCAAGTGGTGAAAAGCTCTGATGGACAAACTGAAGTCCCTGATATCATTTTTTAGTGAAGTTAACTCAGTAATTCTTTTCCCTATTAGATGTGATTAATTACCAGTGCTCCATAACTTCAAGAGAATAAAACCCACACTAAAGTAGCTTTTATTATGTCTGCACAAGCAGTAAAACATCAAGTTCTTAAAAACTATGAGTAACAGAATAACATCTTTAAGCAGTTACTTGGTATGCAGAACTTGTTAACAACAGACATATCATGCCTAGGGTATGGGGATGACAGAGGAAGCAATGTCTGTCATTTGGACACATGGTTCTAAAACAAGGCACCCAACTCTGCTACATATAAATGATAGAAACTGCTAAAGCTATCATTCCTGCTGGACCATGCAGTGTCCCTGTAGCAAAGCAGTGAAGAGCTGAAGCACAACTGGATTCAATTCGAAGAAAGATTCTAGGCAGCCACAGGATGTCTCCTATAGAGTACCACCTCCCAAACCAATGAAGGGGCAACTCTGCAACATGTTTTGTACACCCTACAATACTGACCCTAGCTTGAGTGAAGAGCAGAGCAGACAGATAATAAAAGAATGAACTCACTAATTCCAGGCAAACATGACAGCGTTTTCTATCACAGGCCTCAGGCCTCCCCTTACCTTCATGGACTCAGCATACAATATATATTCCCTAAGCACAGGTAGGAAGTCTTCTGTCATGTCCTCACTGAGTTCTTCAAGAGCTGTGCAGCAATTCCCAATACAGGCAGACACTCCTTCCAGTGGCTCTGACAGCTCAACCTCCAGCCCTCCCCAGGTTGAATAAACAGGTCCATATTCTCGTAGTTCCACCAAGTATTCTACAAGAGGCAGATGAAAAAATAGATTAACAGAGTAAGAGCAAGGCACAAAGATGAGCAAACACAAAATAAGTGAAATTACACACCCATTTTGAATAACATGAATCCCCACAGGGAGTCAAGGCTTGTGTTGTATTAGCTTCTTAACAGACTTAATAGAGCTCTATGGCTGCACAGGCGACAGGTTCAAGATGTCTCTTTCTTAACTTACCATTTCAACTTCTAATACAAAGACTCTTGCACCTGTGCAGTAGCCAAGGTCAGTTTTCTAAACATATGTAAAACCTAACTCTACTAGTTGAGTTGTAGAGTTGCTAGACTTGTAAAGCTTGTCTTCATCTAGGAATTCCATTTGTACTCTTCCAGGTGTAATCTACAGGTTCTTTCACCTTCCAAAAGTCTTAAAAAAATTACTCCAGTAAGACAGTAGGTTGGTATAAAAATTCAACTTAAAAAAATATTTGGAGAATTGAGCTAATACCAGATACCATGTTAGGTTTTGGGCCCTTTTAAAATCTGGAACAGGCATTAGATTTTACCCTGTGTGTGACTTATTACAGGCCAGAATCATCAACACGAATTGTCATGATCATGCTATCAACCAGAATAAGACACAGAGCATTCACACTGAAGTATTATGATGGAACACCTTGTGTCCTTACCCAACTGTTCTTTGATGATCCGTTGTGCTATTCTATCAATGGTACCAAGCTTTAGAGAGAATGTGTCCAGATAATCCCCAATGGCTGCAAACTCCAGTGGCCGACTTCTTAACTTGTAGCCTCCTGTAACGTATTTGACAGACTCCCCCATCTTTGACAGTAAAGCCATCCCTTGCTTTTTGTAGGCATTAAGATCCTAGGAATTAAAACAAACAAACAAATCTAAACAAAAAATGAATATGTTTAGGAATACTGACTTACATGTTTAAATATTAATACAGTGAAGGATACTTTCTAGTCAAGATCAAATCTTGTGAAAGCAACAGACTACATGTGACATACAGCCTTGAACAAAGGCTTGCTTTCTACAAGCTGCACAGCTGAGCACAGCTTCAAAGCTCCATGGAGGTAAATTGTCCAGGACAACAGTATGAAGTACATTAGAAATAAATACATAGTCAAACTTTGTATGTGGCCATACTTTCCCATTCTCCTGTACTCTCACCAGGGAAGCAGGCTTATTAACAGCTCTGATTCCACCAAAACAGTTCACATCATTCATCTACACATACTTCTAAGTCATGGCTACAATACCAGTATTAAACAGATGCACCAGCTGGCTCTGATGACCTACTACAGAGCTACACATTGCACACCTATTTGGTAAGCAGCCTCCTCACTCCAGTTCTGTGGTCAAACAGGAGGCAGATGCAAAAAAAATGCAGCATGAGGAGACCAGCAAAGCTTCTCTGCAAGAGAGACTGTAGCTCAGGCTGGGTCAGATGCATCCATATTGCGGCACAAAAAGTGTAAACTTCCTTCACACTCCTTTACACATTCACATAAACCAGCTTTCAGATTATTTATGCTAACAAGACTGCTTATCTACAATTTTCATGGGATATCACCTTAACAGCATACCAGAAAAAAAATGGTTTTAGTTAATCAAAACGCTGGCAAGGTTTCATTTTACTTCTTCCAGCAGAGGTCAGTATTCAACATCTCAAAACAGGCTCAGGAACTATAGTTTGGTTATCCCATAGATCCTGAGGAAGAGATGTGTTCAAACCAAGCAGGCTGTAGAGATCAAGAGTTCAGACATATTATTAGAGACAAGACTAAAAGCTTGAGTGTTCTTAAAAAAAACCCAACGAACAAATAAACAATAGCCATCTTCAAAACATGTACTGTGGTATTCCTTCCAAGTAATTAACGTAAGTCAAATCGAAGTCTGATTAAGAAAACCTGACATCTTAGCAGCTACTATAATTTTCCATTATGTTTGCATTTAAATGCAATTTGATTTTTGCTTTCCCCATGTCCTCAGCATGAGCTGCAAGCATGCATCAGAAAAGATCCTTGAACTCAAAATTATTCACTCACTCTCTCAAGCATTCTGGTATGTTACAGGTCCAAACAGGGAATATGAAGAAATGTTGGTCTCTCTTCTTCAACCAGGAGGTGATCTTACAACTTCCTACAGTAAGTAAATTCTGAAGTCCTAGCACACTGAACTGACACCTCACTGCTCCACTAGAGACAGTCAGCAGAACAGGTCTCCTTTCCCCTCACCTCACAGAGGATGAAGCCCTTGACATTCATTTCACAGGGATGGCAGAAGACAAATAAAGCAGCTAAGAAAGCTGCATCATGCTTGGACAGATCAAAAGAGGAACAGAGCTATATGACATTTAACATGCTAAACAAATTCTGCATTTCTGGCTTGTTTCAGTGGTTAATTTCACCATGGAGGGGAAATAAAAACACTGGAAATTGACTATTAACAGCAAGCAAAGCATGAACCTGAAGTGAGCTCAAAAATCACATTTAAGTGAGCTAGAGTAATGTGACTTTGGAAAGGTGTACTTTTACAGCACTTCTCACCTACCTGGTAAAACCCAAGTACAGCTGCAAGTCCTCTTAGTCTTATTTGAAATGCAGTTCTAAAGAAAGCCAAGAAAATTGCACTATTCCTGCATAAGTCATGCAGAAGACAAGCATGAAAGTGTTGGCTGAGAACAAGTAAGAATGAGGCCTCCATGCTTAGTTTTGAGGGCATCAAGTGCAAACAGTATAAAAAGAACAGACAAGATAAGAAGTCAAAAAATTCGCAAGCTTTTGTGCAAGGGAAACTTTTCTTCCTCTCCCCCTTTCCCTCCTGCCCAAAAGAGGATTTTAAAGTCTGCAGTTTTCTGAATTTTTATTCTCTCTTGCATAATAGGATTACATGCTATAAAACAAGCAGGTCTGGAGACTTCAATTTATCAATCTACAGAGAGGATTCCTCTTCCCTTCAAGCACAGGGAACCCATACTGTTGTCACACACAAGGGTCTGTCACACACCATAGTCAGAGTGCCCAACAACCCTCTGGAGGAAGAGGAAGCTCTGATCTGCACATGTAGTTTTGTTAACGCCTTTTTACCCTCATTTCAGAAGGGACTGCAAAGGTCAACAACTGCATTTGAAAGTTACTGGCTTACCTTAGCTGTGAGAAAGACATTGAAGTGCTCGTTAAAAGACAGCACTGGGTGATCAGTTATCCTCTTCAAGAATTTGTCTAATGCTTTCCTCCTTGTCTCCACGAACTCTTCCGAAAAGCGATCAACAACACCCTTCACCACAAATTTTTCAGGAAGAGGCTGTCAGAGATGAGCAAACAGCACAAGATTCAAAAGACCAAAGACTTGCTTCTGTTATTTGGAAGCAAACAAAGCAATGAAATTCCAGTCTTAACAGGAACTGAAACACTGTGTTTGTGAACAGGAACCATGCACCAGATGGGATGCAAGCTGTGCTCAGAATTATCCTTAAGCTGGTCTGGTTTAAAACTAGCCATTCTACTGAATGGCTTCAGCTGAGAGTCACACCAGGTAAGTCAGACAGTACTCACACTAAATACTTGTAGCATAGCTTAGATTGCTCTCCCTACGGCTATCCATGTTCAAGACCCAGCTCTGAAGAGATGCCAGAAGAGCTGCAAGCTATTTATAACAGAAGCACACACACCCCCCCACCCATCCCACCACGCAGTGCTGAAGCAAGGCTGCCCAGTCTCAGAAAACTCAGAGAACTGGACAATTCTACTTACTCCCCACACACCCTCTATGAACAATTTAGAGCTTTTCAACAGGGCTCTCCTGTAAAAGGCTGACAGCCTTAGTGAGAACACTGAGCAAAAACAAACCAGGGGCTTGACACAGCAAACGGCTGGATCTTTTCTGAAGTATGAGCACACCTGGTCATCTATCACAGCTGACTTTCCTGAGTATGTTTCAGTAAGTGACAAAGGCCTGTTTATACATCCACTTTTACATCGTACTATTTGGAGTGCATCAGTTCATCTCTGCAGTTCAGTTTGACATGTAAGCCCAGACTGTCTCCAGACTTGCTAGTTATACAGTCCCCTCTGTTACACTTGGATTACAGACTCCAAAGTACCACTCTGGATGTAGGATAACTTTTTAAGGTGATGCATGGTTAGTTTCAGCTCTACCACTAGATCTGCTTTTGTTCTATCCAGATAGCATGGCCTTCAAGATTAAGATCAGTTTTAAAATTGTGCTCTGTATTTCATTTTTCTGAACAAGTCCATCCAGACAATCTGCTTACAGTTAGGCTAGCAATGACAGCCATTTTCACCCAATTCAGGAATCAGGATTCTCCTCTGCAAAGAGTTTGTCATCTAAAATCTATGTCAAAATAGTTAAAGAAAAAAAATCTCTATATATTGCTTTCCCACCATATCCGAACTGCTGTGGGTTGTACATGAAGACTGTATTTCCTAGAAGAGCACAGCCAGCATGACTTAGCTGCAATAGAGCTACATTTTCACCACTGTCTTTGGTTCTTAAAATTTAAGACTTACCCGATTATGTTTAGCATTCAAATCAGTCAGTCATTCCAGTTAAACCAGCATAAGGTACACTATCATTAGACGTCTTCAGCAGTATAATGCCTTGTGCATTAGTCTTCAGGGAGGAAGAAACTCTCTTCCTTTGCTTTGTAAATTTTACCTGGGACTCTAGGAAGTCACTACCTCAGTACCATATGCAGGACAAAAATAAAAATTTTAAAGAAAAAAAAAAAAGGAGGGAAAGAAACACTAGTCTAAAGAATCATATAGTAAAGAACCAACTAGTCTAAAGTTCAACCAAACACATGCAAACTGGCACTGAGTAATCACTAAAGTTTGAGCATTTGAAGAATGCACATCTATTACAAAGACTTCTGCCATTTAACCTGGTTTCAACTACAGCACTAGGTACATTCCTTTCCATTTCAGGCCTCTGGAGGTCCATCTCAAGTAATCAAAACACACAGCTAGGAAAAGATATCTTGCTTTAACTGTGTGTTAATTGTCTGTCTTATAGTCTTCCATCCTCCATCTTATTTTATTTTTCCCTACTGAGATGTATGAGCAGAGTTCATTTCCATCAGAAATGGCTTCAAGTATCCAAACATGACCATCCCAAGACAAGAACCTAGGCTGTTTTAGGTTCACCATTGTAGTCTAGAGACAGAACTGAGATCAGTTTTACTGTTTTTTGAAAGAAAATATTAGAATGTCTCAGATCTTTTAAAAAGAAGTAACTATCAGTAACTGAAGAGATGAAGAGGAATCCATACTGAGCTTAGTTTTAGCTCCCAAGTGCAGGCTGTCATAACACACTGCACTGATAAGACATATCATTTGCTACAGGAAGATTTTAGGCAGAATTGCTATCTTGAGATTAGGAAGACAACTCCCTTTTGATAATTTGTTAAAACAGAAGGCTTTCGGGGATTCCAGTATCAGTAATTACAAATACAGACAGTCTCAGATTGTCTTGAAACATCTTTTCAGAAAACACTTGAGCCAGTGCATCTGAAACTGCCTTTAGCTTCTATACCTCATCTATTTCTAGACAATAAATACATAAAGCATTCAGCAGTCTCCCTACCATACCCTGCATGAGGGAGATTAATGGGAGATTCCATATTTGCTAACTTGTGCATAAACAGATAAAAATCCTTTATCTCCTTTATTCACAGCACATCCTTTATCTCCAGATTTCCTAGAAGAAAGGCATCTAAGATACTGGCTTGTTCTGCAGCTGGTTCCATGTTCATTATTACAGCTACTCATGCTAAGTTTGCTGTTCTGTCTGCAACCAATTCCTGGTAGGAGCAAAGCAGCTTGATTCCCCAGCAGTGACTCACCTTCTGCTACTCGACTATTATTTACAGCCTGGCAGGCTTCAGGCAGAACTGGCTGCCTGTTAGTTACTCAAGAATATGCAGAAACTGAATTGTGATTGTTCCAGATGTTCAGAGAATGGGGCATGAGAAAACAGTATGGGCACTTAACACATTACACATGCCTCCACCTTATGCTCTCAAGCTCATGGTCTTTCTTTTCACTACTGTTCACTAAACATATATGTTGTCACATGATTTTGTGAAGTACTTCTTATCTCTGAGACACTCAGCTATTATTCCACTTGAGGCAAGTCCCAGCATAATTAAGGACTTAAACAGTGCTCAACCATAGAGCAACCTAACAATACTTCTCACACAGCCTACTCCTTGCGGAGGCAGGGAGGGAGGGAGGGAGGCTGAAGTATGCTAGTAGTGTTGCTATTCCTGCCAACTCAATTCCTACAGGGTGTTTTAAATGTCTTTGCTCAAAAGGGCTCTGTGATCAGTGAAGGCAGTGATCTCACAGGTTTCCTACCTATTCACACAGAAGATGTATAAGGTAGTACTAACCTCCTCACATCAAATAAGGTGGTCAGATGACCAGTTTCAACAACAATGGGTGCAGTAGTTTAGCTACTCTTATTAGGTAAACTTCTATCTACTGAAGGCTTGCAAGAGCTACCAAACCAGAGGCTGAGATTTCCAAGTCTGTGCTATTACATGTCAGTGCTATTAAGTGTTAGCACAAGCAGTTTTAAATTACTCTGTAAAACCAGCTCAAAAGGCCATCCTGAAAACCAACACTAGAACCTGAAGTACCTGTAGCTTTTCGTAATCCCCAGAGGCTTTGAAATAAACACGTAATAATTGAGCAAACAGATGAAATGTATTTTATTTATGTCACAGCTACCATAGTCAGCACATGTATTGCCCTGCAGGAGGTTGACAAATCTCACCTCTCAGGTGTGCCACTCAAGAAAAGTCTAAGCTTCCTAACTAGTCAGGAATGGGAAGCTAAAGAGAATGAAGTACTGTTTTTTAAATCTAGACACATAGCATCCAAATATTACCCTTGGAAGACAGATGCACAACTGTCCTTAACAACAGATTCTTGCTTACTACCTACGGGAATAAGATGCGTTGGCTGAGACTCTTCCAGCTTGTTTCTCAACCAGTCGAAGTCTTGGTACCGCCGACGAACAGAATACTCTGGCAAATCAAACTCTGCTCGTGTGGTCTGGAAAAGAACAGGATAGACTTAGTGTGCAGCAACACCTCTCATTTCAGAGCTTAGCAGCAAATGCAGTACAGCCACCCCTGGCAAGGTTGAAGCCAGACAAGCCTTGCAGGGAGGTGTTAATCCCCAAAATTTTGCAGCCAGCATGAGAGAAAGATTCTCTGGTCTTTCAGGCAGTGGAAAAGCAGAAATATGAAAAATGATTACTGAGAACTGACGTGTTAGTAGTTCATTACATGTTCTGCTCTTATCATGGTAGAAGTCTGTAGAGCAGAAGCACTGTGCATCACATTACTCTCTTGGCAGTTACAAGATTGCAAAGACTATGAGATATTCATTGTGAGGACAAGACTATTTTAATCATCAATAATTAAAAGTAAAGGTGTTTACTGACTTGTTTATTCTATGACATGCACTATCCACAGGTGAAAAAGTGTTTCACTGCTGTCTTGTATTCTAAGATTGATGGGTTTATCACACTCCAAGGTCAAAAGATGGTGAGAAAATAAGACACTGTGAGGTTTGATGGACTATTTTTGTTGACTTCCAAGATAAAGAAACAAGTCTGCTTATGTGTACGGCTGATTAGATATATTAATACATTAAATTAAACCTTTTAAATTTTCCTTCTTTAGGGCAAGGTCATTACAAGTTTGAAGGGAAAAAAAATAAGTATGCAGATAAACTGCTGGCGAGTGTTTTGTCCAGTCTTTGAAGAGTCCACAACCTAGAAGGTTGACTGTATGGGGCTGCTTGAACAGCACAAACTGCAACTCCCTAAAAGCACTTGTGAAACTGTGTACCAACTAGGAGTGTCTGTTGAAGAGCCTGGCATTGCCGCAGCCCTGATTAGAAGGTAGACAGCCCTTGTAGCTAAGTCCCACTGAGAAGCACAGGCTTGAAGTTACTTGCAGCATTACATCCACCTTGCAATGAATGGCCTGCAGTGCCAGCACACTACATGCCTGCAGCAGGAATCAAATCCAGCGCATTCTGGGGAACACACCGGCAACCCCAGCCTTGAACTGGCATCAAGTCCAGCACCTGGTTGCTTTGCTAGTCCCAGCCAGTAGCAGCCTTTAAATGCAATCCACCTCTTCACTTGCTCTCTGGATGACTCTAACTCTTCAATTCCTGCATTTTATTCCCACCAGTCACCACTGGGGATCCTGTAAAAGTTCTACATATGAAATCTTCTAGAGTGAAGTCAGGAGCCTTAACATGGTATCAACAGCACAGTAGGTCTAGGATACTGTAAGCAGATAGCTATCTAACATGTTACTACCTATGAAACGGTTTGGCTTCTAGTAAAGGAAGGTGCAGACAGAAAAAGAAATTAGGATCAGCCCCTCCCTTCTTTGACCTGCTAGCCATAGTAAGCAATATAGAGGTTAGTCTAGTAACTAACATAAAGAATCCTCATGAATTGGAGCAGTTGTGTTTGTAGATGAGGGATTACCAACACCCCAATATCCACCGCAGATCTGTGCTTTACTCAGCTACACTCTTCTCAGAGTAACACCTGCTTATCTAACATCAAAGGGTGCCATACTATAAATGTGACTTCTGAGACTTCATTTGCATCATTTTCACTTGTTTAGAGTAACAGAATGAACGGATTTATTCTAGAAATAAAAAATAAAAAAATAAAAAAAACCACCAACCAAAAACGGGGTGGGATGAGGCAGTAATAACTCAGTAGAAGGCAGAGCTTCTGTGACCTGGCGGTCACTGCCCAACAGCATTTTAAGAGATCACATAGTGAGTGAATGAGAATAATCAGAATGGCTACACACTACAGTGTCTTATCCTGCAGCATGAGAATGAAGGTGAAGTCACCCATCTGTTAGCACTGAGAAGCTTATGAACCACTATTCTGCTAATAGTTAGGGAAAACTGTATAGGACTGTCCAGGAGCTGGAAAGCAGGGTTAAGTCCCAGTACACAAACCATATATTAGCTCTCGTTCACCTCTAGCAAATTGCTCTTGTTGCCTTTACTTCACAAGCAGAAGTGCAAAGTTTTCCATATATCACTTTCCTCCTCTGAGATGAAAATACAGCAGCAACATTTCAGTGTTTACTGTAAAGGTTATCAAATCTAGACAGCAAATAAGCTTTTCAAAGACTATCTGGGCATAACACAAAGGCCCTTCAAGTTTTAATGGAACCTCACGACTGGTGAAAGAACTTGCATCTCAGATCAAACCGTCCATTAGTTTAGCATAAGTTATTTTTTCCAGATTGCACATAAGAGGAAGGAGGATCTTGCCACTGTCAAAGCAGCACTGAGGAACACGTTCAGTGAGGTAGCTCGGGGTGCAGTGCAGTGGGAGCTGCAGGCTGAGCTCAGGCTGGGGCAGCCCAGGCAAAGAGGCCGTGAAGAGCCGACCCTGGGCACACAAGGGCCCCAGGACCAGCCAGGGGACCGGACACTGGGACACGGCAGGAGCCAACGATCCCAGACCTTCCCACGCTTAGACTGCTGAGGGGATGAAAGTCCAAGGAGGGTCCCTTTGTTCTGGGTCCCTCCTCAGAGACACCAGCTCGAGCTGTTAGTTTGTTATTGTGCTGTGATGAAATTATTTTAATGGTTGGGACGCCTGAGACTGCTATGGGAAACCTGGGGACAGAAACCTGGTGTGACCGTGCGAGTGAGGGGGCAGAGCTGGGAAGAGGCCTTGGGTCCAACTCAGGTGGTGCAAGAGGGACTGCCAGAGAGGCTCCTGGATGGTTGAGCAGGGAAATTTCTGTAACAGACAACAAGTAAAGCATCTATGTTTTCAACACAATTGAAAATTGTGTTGAATTAAATTCCTCCTGCTTTCTCAGTAAGATTCATAAATCTCATCTTGCAAGGACATGTGCCTCTTCCAAAGCAACCAAAGAAACTTACATGGGAGATCTTAACCTCCCAAAAATAATGGGCAAGACCTTTCCAGGAGCTTATTGAAAATCCCAGCACAGTTCCACTAACTCAGCACTGCAACACTCTGGGCTCAGTTTTACAGTCTGGAAAGTAGGCAGAGTTACAGACACTTTTACCTCAATTGCTGGAATGGTTTTGACTAGAGGCAGTATTAAGGCAATCACCAAGTCTTGGTCTTGCATAAGATTCCTGTCTTCCTTGGAAGGAATTAGCAGCCAAACCTGAAGCTAGCCTGTGATGACTATACAAAAATATTTTTGTACCCTAGTTCTACTCTCTAACTCACCAGACTTGACTGCAGTTTCCCCTCCATGTTACTATTTAAGTTTGAGGCAAAATCTTCAACTAGGAAAAGAGAAGAATGACAGAGAGGGGGAAGGGAACAAGGCTGGTCTCAGGATACAGTCTTAGGACTCCAGTATCTCTTTTTGCCTCAGCTTAGCCTGTTTGAAAAAGACTTCATATCACTTTTACTTGCTTCTCTCTAGGAAATCAAGCTGTTTCACGTGTTCAAGTAATCTCATGGGAGCATGAGGAGAAGGACAGGACAGTGAAAACAAGACCTCCACTTGGTCCATTGGCTAGTACTGACTGGCTTGAAAGACTCTCCCTTCAAGCCTGCAGAGCAACTGCATGACTGAGGAATGGCACTCAGCTAATCAGACCTTCATGGCAAAAGGCACAGAAGAAGGCCTTGCCATCCTAGAAAGTACAATGAAAGTGAAGTTAGAAGTACACATATTTATGTCTTCTCAGAAGAGATGACTGCAGAACATATGGTCAAGCTTTACTTTCCTCTTTCTTCCTAAAAAAGAACTCTGGTAAAATGTCCCTAAAATGCACATTCATCTATCTGAAGGACATAAAGACATTCAATCATCATAGTCAAGACCTGTTAAGTTCCATCACAACTTCCACCCACCTTTACAGTTTCACTAGCCCCTCTGTGTAAGGAAAGTGCTTACTAACTTGTATTAGTAACTGCATTAGCAAGATGAACACACTGTATGAGAGAATCAAGGGAGTCAGTCCTGAATCACTGTCTTGTTAGCTGGAGGATTACCATTACGTTCTTTAAATATGTTCATCCACAACACAGGCTAGGAAATGCTACCTGGCTCTTACTAGGGAGCTGTGAAAACAGGTACACAAGCAGGATCAAGTAAAGTTTTCCTTTGCAAGCCAAGGTTTTGACCCTTCCTCAGTCACTACCACCTGCTGACAAAGGTATGAGAAGATGAAAAGCCCAGGGCATACTGAAAGACCTTTTTTTTTTTCCTATTAGAATGAAGGACCTGTAAAAAGAAAGAGGGAAAAAAAACCCCACACAACACAAATGAGATTGATCAGTCTACACTCCTCCCTACAGTGCTATCCTGTCACAAGAACACATTACAGCATTAGCAACTCCCTCTTCCCCTAGTGATGCTGCTTTTCGTCTTCAGAATAACTCATTCTATGACCTATGTTTATCCAAACCTTTGCGGTTCTACAAGTGTTCTCCAATAGAGAAGAAAAAAACCCCAGCCATCCCTGTCTCCTCATTCAGAGTCACCAAAGAGACCCTTTAGAGGCCTCAAACTTCTTTCCTGCAAGGCTACAAGGGAGGTGTTGCGAACACTCCTCATCTCACTCCATGGATTATTCCTGTGCAGCTTTTTTGCCAAGTTTAATTACTGCTTGTAGATACAATGGCTAACTGGCAATTAGCTTGACATCAAAGACACCTTGTTTGTAGGGCAAGAATGGGTTAGACCATTAATACTGTTAAGTCTTGAACATTGGTAGATAGTCCTAGAGGTTCCAACCCTAGAGATTAACCAGAAGTTTCAACGAATAATAAAACTAAAGAGCTGAGGATTTCATGGTGATTCAGAAGAACTTATTCAGTTTCATAACTGCATTGCAATGGTATGATATAGCAGATTCATGTGCTACAATGAGACCCAAAATAAAACAAGTATTAACAGACAGGCAGGTAGACATCAAAATCAGAAGTATAGAATTATTTTTTTAAGTAAGAAAAGAGACACTGTTTGGTAATACTTCTGAACTAAATATGGTGAAGACCTTGGCCATGTTTCAGAGTTCTGCTTTAAAAAGAAAAGCATATTATCCTTGAACATTAGGATTTCCAAGTATAGGAATATTATTAGAGTGCCACTATATAGAAATATTTTATATTGACAGAATAATTTGAATCTTAATTTAAGAGAGAAATAACATTAGCCAATTTTAGCCATTTCTCTAATGTGGAAAGATGCATTTTATTTTGTGGTTCCTATTCCTTCTGATCAAGCAATAGCTGAAGGGTAAGCTGCTCCAAGTAAGAAAAGATAAAGTGCTTCATGAAAGATTAACGCTACTAGAGTAAAAATGAATGACAGAACTGTGTTAAATGTGCAGGAAGAGATAGTTACTATTTTAGAGAAACTCCATTTTCTCCTGTGCAGTCTGAATGTGAAACTTTGAAGTGGACATTTGGAAAAATGTTATCTGTGGCCTGTAAAGCTTCCTTATCTCTACGGAAAATATTTGCTCCAGTACATACTGCCATCTAAGTGGGCCGGAGGAATGTTAATCTTTCTGGACAAATATATCAAGTATATTACTAATAAAGTTAGTGAACACCTTTTGCCTTAGGTAACTACAAGTGCCCAAAGTAGATGTCAACATCACCTAGGAGCTCATTATAGTAAGAATGAGTTAATTACGAGGAATCAATATTTCAGCTGTGAATGTGGTGGACTTTTCAGATCACTTTTCACAAAAATATATATAGATTACATTCATGACTGAACTACAACAGGTGCTGAAAAAATCTCCAGCCACTTTTGCTTGGCAGCAGCATTCTAAGGCTACTTTCTTTTATTAACAGCTGTAGAAGTATCTGAACCAGCAACTGCATGAAAGCTAGTTTACAGCGGAGGATCAAGACTATGATTTTAGTGGATAACAGAAAAAATGTAGAAAACACTTCCAGCAACAACCTTAAAGCTTTTCAGAAAAGGATAGACACAAAAAGCGAGATGATTAACAGTGAACCAAAAGGCACATTCCCCTTAAGGGAATTCAAACCAAGTGAGTGTCAGATTACTTAAATGAACAAACTGTGAAGTTAATGAAAGAAACTGGCCTTGCAAGTTTACAAGCAGTTCTATTTAGGAATCAGAGACAAAAAAATAAACCTAAGCTGACATGTTAAAAGCTTTTTCCACAATTTCAGACACTGAAGTAACAGTTCTGCTAAGAAATGTCACATCTTCAACACATTCACAAGGTACCAAAAGACACTAAGTTCTTGTCCTTAAGATAGTAAAACAGTGCAAGATGTGAATATTCAGCATGCCCTGAAGTTATCCCACAAAGAAGGAAGTACTAGGAAAGAGAATATTGCTTTGTACCTTTGTTGTAACCCTGTACGTAATATATGTCTCCATTGTGCACACATGTTTTTTGGGATCATCAACTGTAACAAAGAGGTCTCTAGTTTCCACATCCAAGTCATCATCCAGCTGCAGTCTGTTGAGGAGAGATGAGGAGGAGGCCGGGCTAGAAGTGTCCACTGGTGTGCCATTGGGCAGGCTGAGATCCTATATTGGAGAGGAAAAAAAAAAAAAAAAAAGAAAGAAAGTTTTTAATAAGCTTAACAGATTCAAGGTAAAGCATAGTATTTTCAAAGACACCACAGACAAGCTTCTCTGATATATTATAAGGGTTAATTGTTTCAGCACCTCCAAGGATCACCCTTTTCCAGAACACCTGGGCAACACACTAAAGTCATTAAGCTGAGGATAAAGCACACTATATCTTCCCTAAGTACAGCACAACCTGCTTTCAATTCATAAGAAAGGACAGCATTGCTGAACCAACACTTCCTGGTGAGACTGAGTCAACCTAGACTGAAAACAAAACAGGTAGGCAAATCAAGAGACCTACTTATAACACAGGTTTCAGGCAAAACGGCAACAGTTCAGTTGTCTGGAATGCAGTAAGCTTTCACCTCTGGAGACTCCTGTGATAGAGGAAGAAGCAAAACTTTCATCAGAGGCCTCCCATCCAGTCCATTAACTTGCACACATGTTGACAGCAGCGAGAGTCTGAATCGCCATCACTGCACTACAGAACAGTTACAGATCATACTCTCCTGCACAAGTGTCTAGGCGCACCTCCCTGCTGGAGTCCTAAAGCAAATGAAAACACCACTTTTTCCTTGGAGAGGTCCTCATTCCCATCTCCCAAGCCTAAGAGTGTCATCCAACACCTAGAGAACACAGAGGGTGAAAAATCCAGCAAGTTGCTATTTTAGGAAGAAAATCACAGCAAAACAAATTAATAGCTAACTTGGTACATCCACACACCTTCAAATCTCACACTTCAATACAAACCAGCTACTCCGTAACAGCAGTTATTGCATTTGCATAAATATCACAGCAACTTAACATGTTCTTTGCTCTGGTTTTGTAGCAGAGGGAGCTGACAGTGTGTGACAAGTTGTACATAGAAAGTCCTAAGGATCAATGGCTCTTCTTTTCAAAGAAGACAGGAGGGTTTTTGTTTGCATCTTTTTAATAGTAGCACAGGAATAGACTTATCCAGAGTGTTTTCCTTTGTTGTTAAACAGAGAAACATTACTACAGCTAAGCACCACATTAACTAGAAGTGTTTTATGTCGCCCTGATTTTGTAAGACTTTGTTAAGCCTTCTGATGTTTATATTCTTTCAACAAACTTTCTCACACACAGTTCTGTAAATAACCTATGTTTTGCATTCTTTCATGGAGGTGGAGAGAATTGATGGACCCTTGGTCTGTCCAGTGGCATTGGAGAGGTGGCACTGTCACCCTCCAATCCACTGTCACCTTTGGAAAACTATAAATGTTGGAGTCAGAAAATAAAGGTTCTTCTTTTTCTTCCTCTTTTTTGTTCCCCTCGAGAGCAGCAGTGTCTGTGTCATCATTTCGTGCCTTATCACAACAGTTTTAGTTACACAATTACTTCCTAGACCCAACTTCACACAGCTGTAAGTGGCTAGACAAAACATATCATCTTAGCAAAGCAATCACATGTCGATGAGACCCCCTCTGTTCATCAATGCTCCTTTAGCCAAAGGTATAGAATCACAGGCAAGAGCTTTGAGGTAAAGTTACTTACAAAGGTCACCTTTTGATAAAGGTTAAAAACACAGCTGAATTTCTACCAGTCATTGTCACAAACCCATCATGGGAGTACTAGGATTTCATAAAGAGCCATCTGTTTGTTGCAGTACTGCAGAACCATGGCAGCATCGCTCTTCACCTTGAGGGCTGCCTTATGAAGTAGAGAAAATAATTGTTTAGCCTAGACATTTTGGGACAGGGATAATCTAAACTATTGTCTACTAACTGAGGTGAGATACGTTCCCTCAGCCAATGCACAGAAGCGGCTGCCAACAAATAGATGGTTTCACGTGTAACTGGCAGGTTAGCAAGACAGGAAGGCAGGCACTCAAATGCTCTCAAGGGGGCAAAAGAGCAGGAGGACAAGGCACAGCTTGCCAGCTCAGACATGAGGTAGACGCTTCAAGCTATACAAGCATCTGGCTCAGACTCAGCATAGGAGGAACACATACAACAGGAGGAAGCAATGGCACACTAACTCAGTAGATAAGAAGTTCTGTTCAAATTACACAAACAGAATAAGCAGTAGACAGGATAAGGTTAACAACAGGAGATGGCTTCATAAAATCTGCAGTTCAGCTACCCAAGAGAATTTGTCTGAGCAGACTAAAAAGCAAAGCAAACCTTGGGATACCACAATAGCTGGAGACAAATTTGTTTCTGTTTCCAAAGGAAAAGACAGCTCATTGTTGTCCATGTGCATTAAGCATTAACATACAAGTTGTGCCAGATCTGCAGCCAGTATGACAATTAACTTGCAGAAACAGCTTAGCCTGGTTCCACAGGAGATCTCAAAAACTTATAATAAAACTTTTCCAAAAGAAAGCTTAAAGCATGTGATGGAATCTGCTTAAAATATGAGAAACTAGGAAAAGAACCAAAGATGGAGCTTACAGTCAGTTAGCTGCTAGCCAGTTAGTATGAAGTTAGCACTTTCCTCACTAATTCTCTTGGGAAGTAACAATATCATACGAGTAAGTCTTGCACATTTTCAGCAGCACAGAAGCCTGTGAAGGTTTGAATTCACTTCATGGCACTTGAGTGTATTCTTGCAGTCATGGGTCCTGTGGAATGTCTCGGGTGTTAAAGGCTGTGATAGTTCTATCTTGGATGAAACAATCCAGACCTACATCAAGTAAAGCTTCTGTACCAGCAGTGGTTCAAATCAGGAGAGCTGCTAGCTGTGGTGGTGGGGAAAGGAGAGATGATGTGTTACTGCGCTCTTCTGCCTCGTCTGCAGAATCCTCCCTGGCAGAGACAGCTGGCATCATACCCTGCTACTTGGCAACTTTTCAGTAGATGAAACCCAAGTTAGAACCTAACTATTTCTCCTCCTGGAACCTCCTAGCTAAGTGCACTAGAAACAACACACATAGCTGCTGAATCCTCGTTTAACAGTAGGCAGGATCAATTCTGCTGAAGTCTTATGCTATTGCTAGAAAAAGACAGGCTTTGAAGTATGAGGCAAGATACCTCAGGCTGTAATCCTACCAGCAAAGCACCTCCATGTCATGTTAATTGCCCAGCCTCTCTTCCATGATACTTGGGTGACTTAATTTTTTTTTTCTTTCTTTTGTTTTCTGTTCAGGAAACAAGACTGCACCATTTGTGTTAGTCTGCTTTTATCACAAGAAGAGGAGTATGTCCTGCAGAGCTTAGTGGGAAAGGAGATATGCAGCCACCTGTGTTTCTATCCGTTGGTATAACTATCATACCCACAAGCATCTGAAATACTGGCTGGTATTATCCATTTTGTATAAACAAGCTGGCAAGCTGTGTCTGACTTCAGTGCCAGTGGTTCATGCATCAGCTTCACCTTTAGTGCACCAAGTAGCTGTCCATCCATGTTTTAAGTAACTCTCTGAGGTACCACTATTAGAGACCAGAACAGTCCAAGTCACAGCAGGTACCCACTGCTTGCAAAGCCTTTTGTTGAAGTTTCTGTTACTCACAGTAGTCAGTCTGCCATAAAGCTGACCAGTCCCACAGCAGAGAGAAGGGGAGGCTGCTCCTGGTTAGCCAGGCAAGGTGCTGTGGAGGACATGTTTTGTCAAGACATTCTTCATTTCTTAGCGAGCATCCATAAAGCTTTTTCTGAAGTTTCAAAGCTTTTTCTAAAGTAAAGAGTAAAGATCCTTCGTCTGTGTCCCCCACTTCCTCAGGACAGTCTAAACAGCTTTGTCATCTGTTGAAGTATGATAGTGATAGGTCAGGTGAAGGTGTAGCAAGGCCTGGATCACAACCTACAGTAGATACAGTGTGACATTCAGACTTTCAGGTTCATGAGCTAGTGGTTCATGCATATAGTTGTGAAACAACCACAAGGGCAGGCTCCTCATGCATTCCTGTGAAGTTCCTAGAATTCCTCAAGACACCTGAATTTATGGGTACAGAAGTCAGAGGATTTTGGAAGCATGTTTGGTATCCTGCAGTGCCAGGCAAGTTGGACCTAACTGCCTGTGTTGGAAATACAACCTGACAACTATCCAGGCTGCTATCTGGTAAGGCTGCTTCACATTACTTTGTTAAATCATGCTCTCCAAACACCTTGACTAGTCAGCCAGCCCAGAAACAGATATTAAATCTATCAAGAAGTTCACTTCATCCAAACATAAAATTCAACTGAATTTTTTAAACTAGAAGTCTGCATGTGAGATTCAAAATGAGTTGGTAACTTTCCAACTGTTGTCATCTTCTCCCAGGAGATTTTCCACAACTCAATTTACAGAGCAGTTTGGATTCGGATTCACATGAAGTAGAAACTTCAGGAGCTTGAATTCAGTCTTCTGGATGGCAGCCTCCCCTCATGGAGTAGTTCACCAGAGAAAGCATCCAAGACTCAACCCCTGAGGGTCTAAATTTCCAGGTATTGATTTATTGTGAAGAAAATGGAATCTTCTGTTGAGTTACAGGCAACTAGTTAATATTACAGTTTCCAGAAACTGAATGCTTTCATAGTTTTCACCTATCCTGCCTGAGCAAGTGTACAGCTTAACCAGACAGCTTTGCTGTCAAAGCAGCGGCCCATGAGGAAGCAGAAGATGTGGTTCAGCCACGTCTTCCAAGCACAAATAAACTCACCTCTGCAAAGCCCCTGAACCCGTGTGATGCTGTGGGTGCACTGCTCCCATTCAAGAAGTATTGTGTGACACTAAGAGACATTTAGAAATGTTGCTGTTTAGAAGCAGGAGGTGCACTTAACCTAAATACCCCTGCATACTTTTAGGGATCTGAGAGCCAGGCCTATACTGCTCCTAGAACCACACTGCTTCACTTCCAAAATTCAGAGTACTGTACATTTTCTTCTTCTGTTTCAAGGTGTTCCATTGCTTTTTGCCATTCATTTCACAGAGGCATAATGACAGAGCCATGTTAAGCGGACAACAATTCCACACAATTATAGCCGGGTTTTTGAACACTTATCTCCATACCTTC